AGAATATTAAACAAAATTTGATCAATTTTAAAAATAAGAAAATAATATTAAAAACCCGATAACAAATCTCTAAATAAAGATATGTAGTCTTTTACATTTTTATTTTGAATTCATGATATGAAATAGAAAGATTTACATGTGTCTAAATCTAATCGACTCATTATTTTATGAAACTTTGATTATTCCATGATGAAATCTTTATTTTTAATATTTTTTTACCTAACAAAACATGGAAAATTAAACTATTTAATATTAGAAGATCAGTCCATTATAAAATTTTCTTTTTTAATATTATTTAGTTCCTTAATAATTATTTTGTTAGTTTTCTATTTATATTGTTTCTTTTTCAATTTCGTTTTTGCCTCTGACCATTATAAATTTTCATTTTCATTATTAGTTAGTTGTTTTAATATTATTTTGTTAGTTTATTTATTTATGTTACTACATTTTTCCAATTTTCTTGTGTTGACACATGTCATCACTTCATCAAATATTAGACACATGTATCGATCTAAAGTTAAGTATTCTTCATTGATATCTTTAACTTTTAAAGACATGAATTTTATTTCTTAATGAGAAAGAAACTTAAAAAATATAGCTTGTTATATATTTTTTTTTTTCATTTTCGTAATGGGAATATGTTTTTTTATTCCTTTTCTTATTGGATGTAACATTTTTTAATTATTTCTTCATGTTTTTCTGATTTTCGTTTTTTTTTCCTTTTCGTAATAGAATTATGTTTTTTCTTTACTTCTCATAATGGATGTAATATTTTTTCTTTTTAATTGTTTGTTTCCTGTTTTCTGATTTTTCCTAATGTACTAATAGGATTTTATTCAAATAATTTTAATTTCGATCCAATTGACCTAGAGTCAAATAATCTCCACTGTTCTCTTGAACTTTCAAAGACATGATTTTGAAATTAGAGAAAGAGAATCAAAGAGATTTTCTGAATTTGCTTTGATGAGTTTGTGAATGAGAAAAAGAGACTACAATAGCTCTCTTTTTATAGGGGGTTCATGTAACCAATTTCATATAGTTTTAGGATATTTAGTTTACATACCTATTACATGTACTAATAGGATTTTTTTAAATAGGAGTTTATATAACCTATTCCATACAATTTTAGGATATTTAGTTTACATACCTATTCCATATACTAATAGGAATTTTTTATTACATTATTTTATTTTATTATATAAAATTTCGTTTTTATTATAAGATATTAAAATTTCTTTAAAATAAAAATTTCCTTTTTCCGAAGACATGTGTCACGATCTTAACGGATATAACATTAAAAGTGACACATGTCGCAATCCTATATTTTATAAAAATCCTACGTGTCGCAACCACGTTGCGCGCATCCAGCTTTATATAATAAAATTTTAAAAAGTAATCCATTATATTATACTCTCTCCGTTTTTAAGATGAATTTTCTAGACATTTTTTGTTGTTTCACAAAGATAAATTTTTTAGCTTTTTGAAGTACTTTTTCAGTTTTCAAGAAATAGTAATTGGATTTGTTAGATTTTTATTGATCTAAATTTATAGAAAGTTATTTTATTGCCAAAATCTATACACTAATAATTGAAAATTAATTTTTTATTAATATGTGTGAAAACTCTAGAAAATTCATCTTAAAAAAACAGAGGGAGTAATAATCATTAGTGAAAATACAAAAATTGTTGTCTTATTCTTTCTCCTCGAAAAGAGGGAATTTGAGAGCTTGCTGAATCTCTTAGAGAGATGGATGAGCTACAAATCGACAACTCTGTTCCAAAGAGCCTCTCTGAGATGGAGACAAGGTTCAGACTTCAGAGTTTTCAAATGTACAATGCGAGAATCCGAGATGTATGTTCAGATGTTCTCCTCCACATCAATGAAAAATCCTACAACTTCAAACTCAACAAGGCAGCCAACTTGAACTCCAAAAGAGTTTTTAAATTATTACCTTAGCTAAAATGTTAAGCATTTCACAAAAGTTATGGAGGACGTACGCGCGGATCGGAGCGTTTCATCCATCAGCACTCATAACATCGAAACTACTTTGACTTTGAAATTTATAAAATATAGTCACCATCCACATCAGTTTACTTTGTTAATAATATTTATTATATATATTAGCAATGTATGTGTCGCGTATATCGTTAGACAATACGATTCCCTTATTCTAATCAGAAGTTTGGCTAATGAAGTATATAATATATATGAAGGGTTGTTTGTAATTTAAAAATATAAAATATTTTAAAGTTGATTTTGATTTTGCATAGACGCGATCAGTATAGTAATTGGAGGGTAGCTTTGCATTTTCCACATTTATCATTACAAGTTGCACCATTTTCTTTTATTAATAGAATATTATCCCCTTCGTCTTTGTCAAATTTTCTCAATGTTATAAGCCCCTCTTCCTGCTATAAATATAAGTAAGACAAATCGTAAAGGATTTCATAGGAGACTTTAAATCCTCGTTCCATAGCTCATCCAGATTACCAGTAAGCTTTCTCCTTTCGTATTATGTTTGCTTTATACATTATATAAAATTCACATGGCGAAAATTAAGATAAGAATTATAACTAGTTTTGTTATAGAATACAACGCAGCATGTTCTATATATATATATGATACTCGACTCTTTAGTTTTTCCTTACGTTTGTTATGCTGCTGGGATATACTAAATCTCTATAAAAAATCGACGCAGGAAAAAAACTTCGTAACTTATCGAAGATGGCTTGCATCTACAGAGTACCAAACCAGATGCGTAATGTGAAACCTGACGCCTATACCCCTCGGATGGTCCTCATCGGTCCGCTTCATCTTGCTGTCATACTGAAACTAGGGTACGTGAAACACGTAAAACAAACACATATGAATATGTACTGCTTTGTTAATGTACTATGAAAACATTCATTGGCGGATGGAAAACTTGCGAGAGGAAAACTCTTTTAAAAATTTGTAAAATATTTAATCATTCGTAAACTTGCGAATCGATTTTTTTAAAAAACTGAAATGGATGTAAAAATCACATATGGTCATGGGCGGATCTACATGTGCCAAAGGGGTAAGGGTAACACAGTTTAACACGCTCCCCATGAAATTTCCAAGTTTCTTGTAATTTGTTATTACAGCTTAATTAGTTCTTTGCCTTCAGTAAAAAATATTTTCTGCCCCCAAGTTAACTAACAACCCTAATAACTTTGGTTCAATCTTTTTCTAAAATCAAATTATCTATTGACAGTTTATTTTCTTATTTTGGCAACTAATATTGTTCTCTTATATTTATGCATATTCATATATTAGTTTTGAATTTCCGTAACTATATTAGAACGATAATCCAAAACTAAATTATTTTATTAGTAAAAAGAATTCATGCTACTGTTATTCTATTCGTTGTCATTTAAATAAAATATAAAGATCTTAAACTCGCTGACCCAAAAAAAAAAAAGAACACAAGAAAAATCCAATTGCGATCTGATCACGAGGAAGAGAATTTCGATCTACAATGTAAAGGCAGGTGGATCAAATATTAATAAAATAGATGTAGAATTACAAAATCATCGCTCATTTGAATCATTCCTAATTTTGAGTAGTTATTGTTGCATTTTCTTTTGAACTTTTAGATGAACAATAATCTTTCGCATCTCCTTCTTAACTTTGTACTGTGACTAATTGGAATTGTCATTTATATAATCCAAAGTTTAATGTGGCGATCTGGTTGTTTATTAGGCATATACAAAACTAGGGTTTGACCCGCGCCCTGCACGGAGTGATGGTTTCTGAATTTGTATTTTTATTAAAAGATGTTTATTTAAATATATCTCAAAATTTTATGCGACGGATTTTTAATCTTTGTTAGATTATTGTCTTCGTTTATTCGTTTATAATATGAAAATCAAGCATTTTCTACTATTTTTTAAAAAGGTAAATAGATTAAAGTCTTGGATGTAGCCATATATTAAATATGATAGATTTAAGCGAGATACATAAAACTCAAATGACTACAGTATAATAAGTTAGTTTAAAAAACAAAAAATGTGAAAATAAAACATTATTCTTTACAAAAAAATTATATTGTATTTCATAAGATAAGAAGTCTTAGCTGTGTGCACACATATTAGAACTAATTTTTTTTTCTTTTAAAACTAAAACACGGATTAAAATCAATTTTTTCTTTTTTTTCAAAACTAAAACATGGATTAGAATTAATTTTTTTCCTTCTTTCAAAACTAAAACACGGATTAAAACCATTTTTTTTCTTTCTTTCAAAACTAAAATATGGATTTTTTTCTGTCTTTCAAAATTAAAACATGCTTTATTATAATTTCAAAACAATCCAACCAATAAGAAGACAATCTGCATAATCTAAATTGTTAAAACAATGAAAATATAATTAACTTTATAATGAAAGTTGAAATAGATGGAGTAATATTCAAATTTTTAATCAAAATAAAAATTTATTAAAAAAAATTATTCAGTTTTATTATAGAATTTAATTAAAAACCATATTAAATGGAATAAAAATAATATGAAGCTGCTTGATACCTACTAAATGAGGTTATATACTAAACAATTTACATTATTTTGTTTTTAAAAATTCAAATCATAGCATATTCAGAAAAAGATTTAGATTTTCTTTATTAGTTTTCTTATATGATGATTCATATTATTTTATAAAATAAAGTTAAACAAAGATGATAGAAGATATATAGTGATTTAAAAAAAATTATTATGATAGAAATCAATTGGAATTTCATATCTTCCTTATTTACTTATTTTCGTAATTGCCATTTAAGGAAAGAAAATAATAATAAAGGGATGGTAAGCATAATATGCAATGGCATATATTGTAATTTTTCTAGTAAATGTTGTCTTATTTAAAAGTTGAGCTGAGAGTGAACCTGGTGATGACACCTAAGCAATGACACTCTTGTTAATAACACATGAGATAAAGGTTATTTTGATAGTGTTTTCTATTTTAATATATTAGGGATGACTATAAGACAATGGAGGACAAAAAGAACACGTACTTTGCATCTTTCACCGAAAGAGTCGGTGAAAATATTATTGAGGAAATGAGGAAAACCACACAAGAGGAAGAGCAAAATATTCGGGCAAGCTACGCGGAGTCCACAATCGAATATATAACATCTAATGATTTCGTGGACCTTATTCTTCGTGATTCAATTTTCATCATGGAGTTCAGTATCAAACTTCAAGAATTTCGTGGAAGTTCAGATGACCTGATTGTCGGCCGCCAAATTTACACTTCAATAGTGATAGCAGATCTCATCATGCTCGAGAACCAACTTCCCTATTTCATTTTTGATAAATTGTTTGGTCCCTATTCGATGGCATTCTGTGCATTTGAGACGCCTGACCGACTCATCCTGGAATTATTTTCCTTGCACACGAAAATTAAAACAACTACAAAATTCAACCATTTCACAGACATGTTCCGATGTGTTTATGAGGAATCGCTTGACCAATCTCTACAGCTAAACGACTCGAGTATGCCAGCTATCAGGGAGATGAAGAACGCCGATAGCCTATCCCGTGTAGGAGTGGAATTCAAGGTAAACTGATGCAGCGCATACTCTACTTTTCTTGTCAAAATTTCCATATTCTCTTTCCTGATATTTTCAAGTTTATATTTCTTATTTGGATATTAATCATATGGCTTATGTTCGTTCGTTAGTGTTTGAACTTTGAAGTTAAGTAATTAACCTTATTATCTAACTAATAATATCATATTTATAGAAATACTAGGAGGTGACCCGCGCTTTGCGCGGGAATTTATATTATTGTGTTAATTTTATTGTTTTTACGCAAATTTAATTTATTTATATGGTTTACTATTGCTTCAAAAATATTACACGTCCCATTGTGTCTCATTTTATTTATTTTCTTCATGTCCGTTCTTTCCCGTCCCATCCATCCTGCATGTCCCGTCCCGTTGAGTCCATTTCCATTTTGTTATGTCCCATCATGTTCCTTCCGTTTTTTTTGTCTCGTTCCCTAAATATAACTAAGGATAGACAAAATTTCCGTCTAGTCCCATCCCATCCCATTTCATTCATTTTCATCTTGTCCCGTTCGTCATGTCCGTCATGTCTGCCCTATCGAGTTCCATCTTTTTTTACGTTTTGTCGTGTCTCTTTCTTGTCCCTAAATATAATTAGAGTTGGGTGAAATTTCTATTCTGTCCCTTCTCGTCCTAGTATGTCCCTTTCATCTCGTCCCGTTCAATCCCCTCTAATTCCATATTTTTCATCTCTACTTGTCCAATCTGTCCATCTCGTCCCATCCAGTCTCATCCTGTTCCATTATGTTTCTTTCCGTCTTGTCATGTCTCATCATGTTCCTTTCGTTTTTTCCTATTCCGTCTCTAAATATAATTTGAGGTAGACGAAATTATGTGGTATCCCATCCCTTTTCGTTTCTTTACATCCCGTCATTTAATATAATAAGAAGTGGACAAAATTCATTTCTTCTCTTGTTATGTTTTTTTCGTCTCATCCTATCCGGTCTTGTCTCATTTCATCCCGAAATACTTAAAAAATAATCAGGATTCTTTATATAATATCTTGACATCAATGTAAATTATATAATCTTTCAAAAATAAATTTACTAAATAATACTTTTTATAGATCTATACATAATATTTCATGTTTTTAAATGACTTTTCATATTCTTGTTAAACTTAGTATAGTAGTAAATGCTAATTATTATGAAATTAAAATATTAAAAAGAGAAAATATAATAAATTAAATAAGTGGCTGACGTGACGAATTGGTGAATTTAGAAGCATCCTCTTTTGGTGATGTGGCAACACCTGAAGAGAATAACATCAACTTTATATATATAGAGATATATATATACATATATCTCAAATATATTCACACTATCTTCCTTCGACTGATCATCAACCTTTCAGATTCTTTGTACAATTTGTGGTTTTTAACAGGGATAAGTATTCCTACTTTGGTTCGGAGTGTAGTTGTCTAACTCTTTTAAATTGATTTGTTACAATTTCACCTCTGTTTTAGATTTTCTTAAAAGCTTTGAGAACTGAGGAGAGTGATTTTCAACCCTTACTTGTTTTAGGCATTCCATCCATTGAATTCCATGAAACAATATGGAATTCACCGCCTGTTTTTCGGGAATCAACAGCCGGTGGACTCGCTTCCGATCTCTATCAGAAAGGAGGAGGAGGATGATTATTCGCTGCATATGGCGTTTGACAAAGGTTGCTTAGTGATGTCAAGTTTCCGTGCGGATGATACTTCTGATCACATCCTAAGAAATGTCATTGCATATGAGCAGTGCCATGATGGAATAACACCATTTACTTCTAACTACATACATTTCATGAATCTCCTAATTACTAACGATAAAGACGTCTTGGTACTCACAGCGGCAGGTACACATTATTTTATTGGATTGATAGAATATATGAAAATTGATGGATATATAATAACCTCCCCCACCAAATAAAATAAAAATGTATTGCTGCAACATAGGGGTGCTAGCAAACAACGTGGGTCGGCCGAGCTTGGTGGTGGATATGGTAAACAAGTTAAACAAGGGCCTGAAAGTTTCGGACACCTCACAATATTACAGCATGGCCATGAATCTCAGAGCTCACTATACATCTCGCAGAAAAAGGTGTTGGGCCACTCTCAACAAAGTCTACTTCAACGACTTGTGGACCGGAACAGCTACAATGGCCGCAATACTTCTCTTGTTTTTTACTTTAGTTGGGACTGCGGCTTCTGTCATCCAAGCTTACAAAACCTTCAAGAAGTAACTACATCTTGCTTCCAAGTCTTCCCTTTACGTTGGTGATTTATTGTTCAATGTTTATTTCTGTTAAAGAAAATTGTGTTTTAGTACGAAAAAAGTCTCTGGAATTCCTCCATTATCCCTACTAAAATCCTTTTGGTTCGTTTTCGGTTATATGCCCCACCTCTTACTCTTCTTTCCCATTACTTAAAAGTTAAAACAATAGATTTTGATGAACAGCTAGTGATAAACAAGAAAATTAGTAGCTTAGTAGTGAATTTCAACAAAATCTATTAGAACTGTTAGAGTAGATATATACAAGAACCTGCTTTTCTAAAGTCAAATACATTTATACAACTTTAAAACCTTAATCCAAAAAGCCCCCTAAATTACCAATTATGTAGCAACCCCAACTCCAATTGTCGTTTTACTTACTAAACCGACCATACAAAACCGGCCTCATTTTCTTTCTTTTTTTAAAATAAAATTCGGCCTCATTTTCACTTCAGGACCAAAGCAGATATTCGAGTGGTCGATAATTTAAATGTTCAACATGTAAACTACTTTGAATTACCAACAAAGATCGAGGCTAATTCTATATTGATTTAGCAACCGAGTGTACGCGAGTTTGATTTATTTTGAAGAATCCTTACACAAAGTTAAATTAACATAATCTAATGCCTTTACAATCTAATTATCATACCTGTAAATTTGTAGTTACTTAGATCCAAATTTCCAAAAGTAACATGTTTTATTCAACGTTTAACGACTTGCATGGATCATCGAGAAGAAGAGACCCACAAAAAAAGAAACAAAACTCAAAGAACAAAAAAAAAACAAAAAAAAAAATTAAACAAACGGAGGAGAAGATCCAGATCCGGATCTAAGCTTTGGATCCGGATTTGTGGAGGTAGAGTTTTCCGAAGACGTGAAGAGCGGTGACAAAGCCGATGAAACAGAGGCTCATAATGAGGACGACGGTGGGTGAGATCTTCAGTCCAGGAGCTTCATCGGTGTAGAATCTCAGCATGTTGCTTGATCCTCCTGATCCAGCCGCGGATCCGCCGCCTGACGATGCGCCTCCGCCACCACCGAGCCTGCGGCGACGCATGCCGGCCGTAGCAGCGGCTGATCCACGGGGAGCGGACAGACCGGGCCGGGAGGATGCGGAGGCGGTGGAGGTTGATTGCTGCGACTGGGAAGATCCTTTCGCCATTGTTGAATTGTACGGAAAATGAGGGAAAGAGACAAAGGAGAAGGAGATAAGACGAGGTTATGGAGTGGTGAAGGAAAAGGCAAAATGGTAAATAAAGTCAAATCTGAGGGTACTTAGGGGACGAGAATGTTGATGATTGTGAAGAGACGTGGAGTCGTAGTAGAAAACTAGATAGATACTCCAACGACTTTTTTTGGGCGTTAGTTTACGGTAAGATTGATAATTATATTATAGATAAATACACAAACTCATTTTGTAATTTGTATATACACCTTCTATAGAAATATAAGAAAATCAGAGAAAACTTTTGTCACGATTTTTTTTTTTTCTCATTAATATATTAGGTTTTTTTAAAAAAATATTCATAGAAATATAAGAAAATCTGAGAAAACTTTTCGAGAGTCCTAAAATAGTTTTTAAAAAGGTCTATTAATGAGAATTCTTTGCTAAAATATTGTGGGGTAATCTGCATTTTACGTGTTTTTTTTATTTCTTTAGTTAACTCGTACCAAAAAAAAAAAAACCTTTATATCACAACTTACGTTTGATTTCTTTCTATATTTAGTTCACTGGAGAGGGCTTTTAGTTTCATCGCTTGGGTTGCAAGGCAGCAGTCACTGATCAAAGTGAAAGAGAAAAAAAACAGAAGTTGGTGGTACGATCGAGCCTATAAGCAGTACATCGAGCAATGGCAATTGTAAGTTTTGAATTTATTTGGGTTCGATCGTTACTTGCATATGTAGGTTTCCAATTTTTTTTTTTTGACAACTAGGTTTCTAATTTCATTAATGTATTATATTGATCTCATGGATCTATGATCATGATTATAAATTTGGTCTTTGTTTCATCGGCTTTGTGTAAACACTTTGGTTATAAGTTTTTCATGATGTATACTTTAGCCTTTAGGACGGGCTCTCTCACTTGCCTGCCTCGGTCTCTCTAGTCTCACTTCGAATGTGTATGACACTGTATGTATATATACTTGGTTATTAGTAATAGTAGGTCAAATAAGGTACTTATTGCTTAATTATGTAATGACGATTTGCTTGACCCATCGCATATGAGTGTTGGCTGTAAAGATAAGCCCCTTTTTTATTCCCACCGGCCTTTTTTCCCCTTTTCTATTTTCGTTTCCAGACCTTTCTTTTTTAAATCCTTTTTATGTTGATGTCATCTCCAAATTATCCTCTTTGTCTGTTTGTCTTTCTTTACTTATTTTTACAAATCTCACTCCCTTTTCACTGTACTATTTTTGACATATCACACCAAAGCATTACATTAAAAAGGGTTTAGCAGTATCCAAAAGTAATCACGGGTACATGATTACTTGTGGGGGAAATGTCGATTCACAGTCATATATGTTCTTCTTTCAAAATGAAGGCAGCAAACATTCCAGGAATGGAGTCTAAAATTGGAAATATGGAGGTAGAACTAGTGATTCTCAAACAAGAAAAATGAAACTGTTATAGCTGATTTGAAAAATGAAATCATAAGTTTATAATCAACTACCTTAATTAAACATTCATTTGGTATTGTGGTGTGCTCTGTTAGTCTGTGAAGTGGGCTATAATTTAGTTGTTCCTTTTAAAAGTATGGATGGGATGTCACTTGTCTCACTCTTAAAATGATTTTACTGAATTTGATTACTGTTATTCAATTAAAAGGTAACATTTAATTTTCATCGTGATCAAATTAGATATCAGAGTATTATGTTTTTTTTTTTTTTTTTTTTTTTTTTTTTTTTTTTTTTTTATAACCGTGGGGATCCTAAAGGATTTCTAGGCCCAAAGACTAATCCCATGAGGCCCACGGCAGTCCGCGTATTCTTACCATTTAAGGCCCGGATGGCCAAGGGGACTCGAACCCAAGTGACGGAAGTCACAGCTGTGACCCCTTTACCACTGGGTCATGAGACATTGGTTCAGGATATGTTCTTTCTTTCTCCATAAAATTATTGTTCAGTTCTCTTTGATCTATTTTTCAATGATGAATAATACTATACACAATAGCTAAAATTATCAAATGAAATATAAAGATTTGTGTTACACTAGAATACTAGATTGAGAATGGTCCAGTTTGAGCCTATCGCTGACCGACTTGTAAGAGGACAGTTGTGTGTAAAGAGAGAGAGATTCCCTCTTTAGGCAGCTTTCTTTTTGGTGTTATTCTACAAAGACTATTCACAAGTGATTAACGGATAATTTCAAAACTACAACATTTGGGATACCATCTTCACTCGTTTAAAAAAAAAATTAAAGCATAAAAAACAGACAGAAAATATAAATAAATCACTCACGAGAACCATTTTCGAACCTAGAGGAAAACATCCCACTTTTCAAACTATACAAATTTCTTGCTTTACTTCTTATAAAGTCACAAAAGTTTTACTGTAATTAGATAATCACTTACATTCTTACTTGTTTTCTTATTTCATTTCTATCACTCTCTGTCTTCTTGCTTCTTTTAGTTTAGAACTTTGAGACAACCTAGAGAGATTCTTTTGTCTTCTTACTCTGAATCAAGACATGATGATTCCACATAATCATGACCGTCTCTCTTTCTCTAGTGTCGTCCATGATCAAGAACACATCACCCCAAACCCGAATCCTAAGCCTGCCTCCATTAACACATTAAAGAGAAAGAGAAACCTCCCAGGAAATCCAGGCATGTGTATATATCTCTCTATATATATATATTTTTTAAATGGGCTGTGTCATCAAAATCAATGTTCTTGTTCCAAGTCTACATCTTTTGTCTTTTCTTGTTTCCTTTTTGATATTTTTTCCTGGTTTTAATTTTGTTTCCAACAACAACAATAAAAAAACAGATCCAAATGCAGAAGTCATCGCTCTCTCTCCAAAATCCCTCATGGCGACAAATCGGTTCTTCTGCGAAATCTGTAACAAGGGTTTTCAGAGAGAACAGAACCTTCAGCTTCACAGAAGAGGCCACAACCTCCCATGGAAGCTGAAGCAAAGAACAAACGATGATCAGGTCAGGAAGAAAGTGTATATCTGCCCTGAGAAGAGCTGCGCACATAATGATCCAGCTCGAGCCCTAGGAGACCTCACTGGAATCAAGAAGCATTTCAGCAGGAAACATGGAGAGAAAAACTTGAAATGCGACAAGTGTTCCAAGAAGTATGCTGTGATATCCGATTGGAAAGCTCATATCAAGATTTGTGGTAGCAGAGAGTATCGATGTGATTGTGGTACCCTCTTCTCCAGGTCACTACTATTCTCTCTACATCTTGGTTTGAAGTCGTAAAAATTTGCCTAACACGTTAAATTATTCTATTTATCTTGGAAACTTAAGATTCTAAAGTTTCGGTAGTGTTAACTTTTACCATACATTTTCAAAATTAGAAACGTAAACGCAAACGGAAAGAAATGTTTTTATTTAATCTTCTGGTTTTGCATTTTTCAAATATAAAGTAACGTTTATTTAAAATATAAACATATACAAATGAAAATACAAACACATATTTGTATTTGAAACAAACGGTCCGATTAAGACAACATGTGTATATATATATGACACACCATCAGTTGTACAAATTACTATACTTTTTTTTTGAAGAATCAAATTACTATACTTTAAACTTTGGTGATAGGTTAGTGGGTGTACGTTATGTCTAGTACGGGTCTTTGGCTCGTAGCTAGGCCCAGGCAAATTATCCGTTATATTTGCTTCGATCCGTTATCCGTTCCGATTCGATCCGAAAAATCCGGATAACCGTAATTTTACAAAGCAAAGCAAATACTAAAAATTAATATCCGTTAAAACCGGAGCAAATCACAAATACTGAAATTTTAAAAGCCGGATATCCGATCCGCTCCGTTATACATATAGATATATCTATATATATAAAATTACATATATAAATTGGATGATTGTTATGTTTATATCTAAATTTTATAAATCTATATTCATTAAATTGATTATTTAAACACTAAAAAAAATTAAAACAAAATAACTACTAATAGTTTTTTAATTAAAATTATATTTTTGTGTTAAAAATTGATTTTTCTGAAATTTTTTAAATACAAATATTTTTTAAAATATTTACGGAGTGGATAATTCACGGATATTAAACAGAGTTACGGATATCCGGATCAAACGGATCGGAGCGGATAATCCGCGGATATTAAACAAAGTTACGAATATCCGGATTTTCGGATATCCGAAAATTTTCGGATCGGATCGGATCAGAAAATCAAATATCCGGACGGATCGGATCGGATCACGGATACCTGTTTTTTGCCTAGTATTTGCTCCGTGCCCACGGCTACTCGTAGCTTGTCGTTTGGACATCACTACCGTTAATGATTTCTTGGCTTCTTTTTGTCTTGGTCCATTTTGTAGTTTTATGGAGACACCACTATCGAGGTGAAAAAGGTTGATGCATGATTAGAACATCATGTGGATGTTGTCATGTCTCAATAACCTTAAGTCTTCTGTTTCCACCTAAATAAATACATCGGATCTAAACTTGCATCAATTTTGTAGTCTAAATTTTCTTTTGATAAAAAGTTAAATCAAATACTATATACCATACAATAAGACCCAATTAATATTTTCCATAATATTATCCATATTGATATACATCTTTTGATGATGATTTTATTGAAATTATCAGGAAGGACAGTTTCATCACACATAGAGCCTTTTGCGATGCCTTGGCTGATGAAACTACAAAATTCGTCTCATCCGTTCCATCACCCTTAGCCGCCAATTCGACCATCTCCATAGCCGCTGCTCAAAACAGTCCAATTCTTAGTCAGCCACAACTGGATTATTCTCTCACACGTACGGCCGGTCTTAACGTCAACCGCAATCAAACCACTTTGTCGGGATACAACGTCACCAGTTCCGACCAAATCCCACTACAAACCAATGCTTTCGCGTTATCATCGCCACAATCACCTCGTGGCACATCTGATTCGGTTCACCATCTATGGAAGTTACAAGGAGAGGGTTCACACCACTGGCTACTCAATGAACATATGCACAACAGCAAAAACGTTCTTCATAAGGGAATATCCAACAATCAAGAAGATGAGACCAAGAAGGGAAACATCTACAGTGGCTCGAATCCAAGTACCGGTCCAAACATGGCATCCTTTTTCTTGAATAACCAAGAAAGGAATCTGGCTTCAATGTCAGCAACTACATTGCTTCAAAAGGCGGCTCAAATGGGATCATCATCGAGCTCCAAAAACAGCACCATGTTTGGGCTAGTGACTTCCTCCATCTTCAATACGATGCCAGACACCAACTGTTTCAAGCCGAAGAATAAGGAAGAAGAGTTGACCAGAGACTTTCTTGGTGTGGGAAGTAAAGATGACCAACAAGGTCTTCAGCATCATCAATTCTCATCAAGCGGGCCATTGACTGGAGGCGGAGAAGCAACCGTAGACATGGCGTCAGATTCTGAAAACACTCGCTTTTCTTGATGTACAAGTTATTATATTAAGGGATACATGAACTTTTATGAAAATATAGATCAGTGGCTATGAAGACTTTAGAAAAGTTAAATAGCAAAACAATATATATTTACGCAGAAACCAAGAGCGTGTGGCACAACCAGTGATCAAAGAGCTTGTGGCCCAGTAAATTTTAAGATGTGATTCATTCTCGTTTGATTCTATAAAACGAATCTCCTGAACTTTTAAGGAAAATAGACTTTAACTAATAAAGATACGTTGTTAGGAATATTATTTTTTCATGTGGAAGACAAATCTTGCTCTATCATTGTCTCATGTCTCCTTTTTTCCTATTAAGGATGAAGATTCGGTAACAGCCCTCACATATTTGTCCTAATTAAGGATTATGCAGATGTTTCGATATAATATCTACTTTTGTGTAAAGGCGTGGCTCTTCACGCACAACTTGAAGTGTATGCCAAGTCTTGATTCCTTCTAGCTAGCTCATCATAAGCTCCTTGTTGGATGATATATAAACAAATGATTCTTTGTGGTGGAGTCGTCGCCACCTATATGACGATTAACGTTTTGATTCCGAATGTTGAAGACATTCTTTTTATTTTTTTAACTAATTAAATCGATTGAACCTTTTTCTTTTTTTGGGACAATGAAAAATAAATCGAACATATTATAACCCAATTTTGAGAAACTAAGGAATGTTCCTTTTCCTATTGATTAGCACTTTTTGATTAGTAAGCTTAACTAATTTGATATACAATACTTTATAGATTACTGTATGTGCATTGCATGAATATATATCTACTATTTTTCTAAATATATTACTTCCAAGATTTTTTAAACTTTTGGTTTAGTTGTCAACACTAGTTTGCAAGTTTAATTCATTTGGTCTGATCTTATTGATTCACCTTACTTTTCGACACCAATTCTCCTCTGACCATAGGTTTAATTGGTTCATATTTATGTCTAAATTTAGCTTTTGTCGTAAAAAAACTTGTATAATAAAAGCATTGAAGCTTTTACCACCAAAAAACTATATATCCACACTTTGACGCCTTTACATTCATTTTCTTCAAAAAAATAGTATAGATACAAAAATGAATCATCTCATAGTTTTTCTGTTAGCCATTGCTTGGTGTTTTGGTTTAAACGAAGGTCTTGTGTGTAGTACTGGTAACCCGCGATGTAACAACGCGTGTCTCCTGAACACTTTAGAATTTCGAAACGAACTCACTCCAGGTAATATTCTCAAAGTCAACTGCACATCCAACAGAAACGAGGATAAAGGTCACCACGATGTGACGTTCGGTAACTCATTCAGATTTTTTGTTAACGAGAATGGAGACAATAGAATAGTATGGCGTTGTCACTTGAGGCAAGGTCCCAACATGGAGCATTTTCTAGAGTTATGGAGAGCATATAGAGGAGCATATGCAAGTCGATGTGGTCAGCTACGTTCATGGATTGCAAGAGTTGATGGTGTTCATTTACTGAGAAATGATGAACACAAAGGGCACCAACATCATTGGATTACCTAACTTTTGTGTTTTTTGTTTCTTCTTAATTAAAACTTATTGTTTATGAAGCTGAGTTTTTTCTTTTCTTTCTCGTCTTGTGAATTAAATAATCGTTCTAATTCGAGTTAAAATATAGAAGTGAATAATTTTATCTTTTTGTATCGTATCACGTTGTTTGATGAAAGTTGGGTTCTAAAAATGCTTTAAGACTTGATATTAACAAAAAACAAAATTCACTCGCACGAAAATGGTAAAAAGAAAAACATATGTGGTTTGTATTAATCAACACAAAATCAACAGAGAGATAATTCCCAAAAATCACTTGGAAGAAAAATCATGAGTGATAAAAATAGAAACTTTTTTTTGTTTCTCACAATAGAAACTTCTGATTACAAATTAAACCATGCGAGCGATATGCTAATGACGCAAAGCCACACCGCCTTACTAACAGAACCAACTTTACGTAAAGCAAACGAAGCGTCCGCCGGAGAATCATCACTGGAACTATCACCGTCCTCCTTCTTCTTCTTCTTAGATTTCGAGACCGATGGAGCCGGAGCTGGCGCCGGAGGACGAGGATCAAATATTTGCTGAGGAAGCAAAACTTGATCGACCTGATAAACGGCTAGCTGTCCATCGCTGTAGACATTTCCGGAGACGGTTGTGTTGGTTACACCGGAAGTGATATTTACGGAGTTTCCACTGGTTGTCACGTTGAGAGGGAAATGTCCTTCGGCGGAGTCACCGGCTTGAGTCCGGAGAGGGTTGCTTATTGTTTGGAAGTTGGTGGAAGAGACGTATGTTGGTATGACATGAAACTGAATAAGCTCTACTTGCTGCTCGTCGGTCAAGGAATTTAGGGTTCCGGCTTTGAGACCGGAGAAGGAGGAATCGCTCGGTGCGAAGATAGTGATACCATTGTCGGAGTTGTTGAGCTGGCCGTAGAGTTGGCTAGCAACGCCGGTTGATTTGAGTAGTCGGATGAAGACTGTGAACTGGCCGCCTTTTTCTAGGATTTTGGTGACATTTGTGGGTCCTGGTGGGGCGGGAGCGGCGGCTGGCTGAGATAGGGTTCCGGGAGCGGCCGTGAGGAGGAGGAGGACGGTGGAGAGGAGGATCATGAGAGCATGTTCCATGGCGGATGTTTGTGTGTTGTGAGTGTTGATGGTGTTCTTTTGTTTGTGTGAGATACGTGTTTATAGGAAGTAGTAAGGAGTATATTGAAATAAGGAAAATTAATTGGTTAAGAGGTCAACATTTTTACAACTAAGTTGATGGTTAACACTTAACACAATCATTAATGATTCTCTTTCTTTCTTTCTTTCTTTTTCTGGTGTGAAATTTCCATCACATCTAATCAGATGAATTGCAATACCTCCAACCAAAATTATTGGAGATATTATAGCTGTACACTTATTATGCCATTAATAAAAGGATAAGGGACAATTTTATATTGGTTTAGTGTAATGTTAGTAGGATTTTATGTTTTTATTTGGTGATTGCAAAACTCATTTATCGGTTTCCAGATCAAAGTCTGGTTTTGCTTTTAGAAGTACCGGTTATAACTGATACTTGATTATCATTTAATAACTTTTACTATCGTGATAAACGAACTTGTGTTTTGCTTTAAAACATTAGCAGCAGTTGTATGACGGTGATAATGAATGTATTTAGTACTTACACTATTACACATAGTGACAGTCTGTGTGAATAACTAAAATAGAATCATTACTTTGTTAGTAATCATCAAATTCTGTGTTTGGAAACGTGAAAGGAATAATGGAGAGTGTGGTGTATGATAATGGAAGGAGCAACTTGCAACTTTGCTTGGAAATTAAGAAAAAGCAATCAGATATTGATTTGTGGTGGGCTCTCTTGAATTTTAATTAAGCATATTTCACATTAGAGTTATTAAGTTATTTTTTTTAACCAAGCTTAGTGGTTTGTACTATACACATGATACAAATAGATTTGTTGATTAAAAACAAATCGTGAAAATCTAACTTATTCATAAAGGTGTCAAAGCAAAACTATCATTGATCAAAGTAAAATTTCCAGACATTTCATGCTTAAATCAGTAAACTGTCCGAATTAGATTTTTCTCTACTGAAAGAAGCATATTTTAATTACTTGTAATATAATGGGTCAACTTTTCATTAATAAACATAATGACTCATTGGATTACTTGTTCGAGATTTGAAAAAGGATATTGTTCTCGAAACTAAAAGATATCAAAAGAAAGAAAGAAAAATCTACAAGGCTACAACCATTTTTGTGTGTCCTACTTTACCAAATTTGTTTTGTGTGTGTCCTTGCATTGAAGTTGTGTGAAGTAATTATGAGCTTAGAATTTATCTGTATTACTTTCTTCGCTGGGTAAGTTCAACTGCTTTGAGCCTCTAACCTTACTCACGTAATCTGGTCCAAAACAATACAATCTTCTGAGTTTTGTTTCCCAGAAATATAGTTATCATTTAAAAAATATATATATATAGAATATGAAAAAATTAAATGGCTAAGAAATGAATATTAATTTTTTTTTACTTCTTACAAAAAAATAAAAATAACCATAGTGAACATATGCTATTTTTTTGTTTGTGTGCAAAAATATATACTAATTAAAAAAATGTCGTTTTAAGGGAACCGGATGTTTAACCAAGGAGAAAGTCGTTTACGGTTAATCACACACATTCGCCCTTTCCCTAAGAATCAGCTCATTCCATTTGCATTCCCTCCAAAAAGAAAAAGAAACAATTATTTCTCTTGTTTATATTTCAGTCACAACAAAACCAAAAACGTCACAATGTTCTTGAATTCTCCACTCCTCTTAACCACAAAGCACCAACTTACCGAGATGAAGACCCGAGAAGAACTAGGCGAATTCGCTCAAATCTTTAATGCTTTGATGACTCTGATGAGGAGATTCATTTTCAGAGTTCTAAACGTCGGTCCAGTCCCTAATCACATCTCATTCATCATGGATGGAAACCGCAGATTCGCCAAGAAACACAATCTCGAAGGCAGAGACGCAGGTCACAGAGCCGGTTTCGTTTCGGTGACATATCTTCTTCAGTACTGCAAAGAGATTGGTGTACCGTACGTCACACTCTACGCGTTTGGTGCCGACAATTTCAGGAGAGGACCTGAAGAAGTCAAGTGTTTGATGGATCTGATGCTGGAGAAAGTTGAGCTCACGATTGATCAAGCTAACTCCGGGACTCTAAATGGCGTGAGAGTGATCTTCGCCGGCGATCTGAATTCTTTAAATGAGCGTTTTCGAGTTGCGGCGCAGAAACTGATGGAAATTACGGAGAAGAATAGAGGTTTAATGGTTGTGGTTTGTGTTGCGTACAGCACAAGTCAAGAGATTGTTCACGCTGTACGAGAATCTTGTGTGAAAAAGTGCGATGATGGAGATGGTCCTGTATTTTTGGAGGTGAACGACATTGAAGAGTGTATGTATACATCGATCGCCGTTCCAGATCCGGATCTTGTGATAAGAACCGGAGGAATAGACCGGCTGAGTAACTTCATGGCGTGGCAGACTTCAAGGTCACTCCTTCATACCACGGCGGCTCTTTGGCCGGAGTTACGGCTCTGGGATTTGGTTTGGGCCATTCTTAAATTCCAGAGGATGCAAGATTACTTTCAGAAGAAGAAAAAGTTCGACTAATACTCTCTACGTTAAAACCCTACGTTAAAACTCTATGTTTGATTTACATGTTTCTTGCGTTATAAGAAAGAGGAATCAAAACGAGAAAACAAAAGAAAATCCTTTTTTTACAGTCCAAATAACAAACACGAAAACACAAAACAATGATGATTCGTTCGATTTAACAATGATTGAACACTACAATCAGAAGCTTGATTTAAGCAATCTAAGTTGTTTACAAAGTGAAGAACATACAAAAAAATTGGATCCAAGAAAATAGTGTTAGATTCATATACTTTAACATAAACATAAAATAGTTTTTATTTTTAATTTTTATATAAACGTACACAAAAGACAACAAAGAACAAATAAGAAATCAAGGGTTTTCTTAAACCCTTAAAAACATCATAAACGGTCCAAATATTATCTTCTTGGCTCTTATTACATTAGCTTTTATGAATATAAAATATTTCTAGAAACAAAATAGTTGCAATTACAATTTTTCATGAATTAATTATTGTTATTTTATCATAGAAGTTTCCCTTTTTCTTCTTCTTCTCATTAGATATCAGCAGAGAAAGATACTTCTAGAGGCTTGAACCTGCAGAGTCTACAAGTGGGCGAAAACAAAGAAGGCGTTTGGTATTTGTCCTCTCCTCCCATCACAGGCATTGGGACTCCAGTTTTGGCGGAGCTGACGTAATCAGGACGGTAGGTTTTCCCCAAAACACCCTCGACGAGCTCACTTAGGTCTAAGAACTTGAACTGAGTCTCAAGATGGGCAAAAGCGTCATCTTGCGGCAGCTGATAGTTGTGAACTCTGTTCTCTTCTTTCCCTATTGGTCTCACCTTGATGTCCATCTGAACAAGACCAGAGACAAGTACTCTCACGCTGTTTCTCTCGTCGGTTCTCTCGATGACGATCTTTCTTTTTTGTCCCGAAATCGCTGTCCATTCGGATTGTTCGTCTTCAGGGAGTGTGATGAGATCTCCGTCGTATCTGAGAGTGAAAGCGTCAGATTTTTCATCCCATTGAGTCACTCTGTTGGCTGCGATCACGAGCTTGTGGTTTTCGAACATGACATTTAGGGCTTGAACCCATGTGTAATCTCTGGTTCTGCCAACGGGTCTTGTACCGATGAAGTGAGCGTTGATCTGGAGATTGTTGTCTGAAACAATGGCAAAGTTTCCACCTTTGGATCCATGGAAATAGAACATCACACCGTCTCCTCCCACAAATCGAGGGTCGTAGCATAGAGATCCATAGCCATTGCAGTTCGTTTTTCTCCCTGTAAGAAAGAAGTAAAAAGGATTAAGCCAGGTTTCTAGGTTTGGAAGCAAATCAATTCCTTGTACCAAAAGTTACCAATCGACATCTGAAATCCGGATAACTATATTACTTGCGTGAGAAGCAAAACTGAACCTAAAACGGAGGAGACAAGTTGAATAGAACAGGATGTACTTACATTTGCATGTAGCTTCACATTTGCTAGAGCAGTCAATGAAGCAACCCTTGGTGTCCTTGTTCTTCGCGGGCCTCCTCTGGGAACATTCACGAGGACAAACAAGAATCTTGTAATAACATGCAGTTCGAGCCTGGCAAATCGCTAGCTCTTGTCCTGAAGGCAACGGTAAAAGCAACCTGTATCTCGCAGCCGCTTCACTCTCCTCCTTGTCCTTCTTCTCCTTCTCTTTCCTCTCTTTCTCCTTCTTCTCCATTTCTTTCCTTTCCTTGTCCTTCTTTTCCTTGTCCTCCTTGTCCTTCTTGTCTTTCTCCTTCTTCTCCTTATCCTTCTTTTCCTTCTCCTCCTTGTCCTTCTTGTCTTTCTCCTTCTTCTCCTTGTCCTTCTTCTCTTTCTCCTCCTTGTCCTTCTTCTCCTTCTCCTTGTCCTTTGGACCGAGACCGTTACCGTTACCAGCTTTGTCTACTTGAACCTCACTCCCCTTGACAACTTTACCGTTGTCTTTGCCGCCATCGCTCTGTGCAATGACAGTATCGGTCAAGAGAAGCAATGCGAAGAGAGCGACAAGCACATATGACTTTGTGTGCTCCATCTCTCAAGTTCCAAAGCTTTCCCTTTAGCTTCTTCTCTTCTTCTTTGATTTCACAAGATGTTTATATGTGTTTGATGTGGTGAAATGTTGTGGCAGTAGGAAGAGGGGTTTTATAGAGGGGAGGAAGAAGCGTTGACTTATTAAAACCTCATATGATAATATCCCTTGCTTCATCTTAAGAAAGAAGCAGCCTTTGAGTTTATCCCAAGTCGTCTCTATGACTTGACAAAAACTTAGCTTGATGAAGCTTCAACTCCAAAACTTACAGCTAGAAAATTGTTTTAGTTTATACAAAAACGTAAATATTTATCAATTCCTACTCTTTTTTTACCAATTTCTTAATGCCTCATGATCAAAGCATATCTATATTTACTTGTATTCCCAATAAATATATAAATATTACCACTAGACTAAGTTGGTAAGAGAATTCATTTCAAATATGAATCCGATCCGAAGTTATGAATATTGAATTGTATTTGCAGGTTTTGTATAATCCATTTCAGTACTATTCTTCAATCCTCTGTTCTCAGTTCTCACAGTAACTTGCTAATATTATATAGACATCCTAATCTTTCTGTACAACATATTTAGGGATAAAATCTAATATATTGGTCTTGGTGACCTTTATGTGCAAGGAACGAGCTAGTTACAACGTGAGGATGCCTTAAATGAAGAAGAAAGCCCTCATGTCTGTAACTGTGTGTATTTCAAGAAACTTTTCTTTGACTTTTCATTGGTCGACAAGCCGCCCACTATTAATTACAAGCTTGCACCTTTTCGAGACACCAAAGAAAAGTCAAACGCGCCAAAACTGTGATCCGGTTAAGCTTCTAACTCTTGAATTAAAAACCAAACCGGTTTACTGTGATCCGGTGCATGTGCTGTCTACAAAGTTGCCAGTTTTCTTAAGCTTAAACTCTTGGTCACACCATTCACAAGGCACAACAAAGCAAAGCTGAATCAGGAAACCGGTTTGATTCAACGGTATACAAAGTTGTATCAAGAAAACAAGTACATGAATCATGTATGCTAAATGCGAACTAGCTTGCATTTTTTCCTTTTCTCCAGAACATCAAAAGAATCTGACACTTTCTATAGTTTTTAGTTATTGAAATATATAGGAAGATCAGGCTTAGCTTGCTCGGTACCAACGCTGGTTTCTCCAACAGAGACAATATTGCTACTACTGCTTGAAGAAGATCCTTGTTCCATCTCTTTCGTCATCTTCATGAAATAACTGTGCCTGCAAAAAAAACGAACCATAAAGAGTACAATCTTAGCATATCAAATCATATAAACCGTTTGAAGAAATCAAGAAGTTATTCACTAATTACCATCTCGTGTCTGCAGTTAACTCGGGATGAAACGCAGTTGCTAACAAGTTTCTTTGCTTCACAGCAACAATGACTTCCGTTTCCGGAGGAGCATCTTCCTGTAAACAATCAACAAGAAGAGATTCATAAATGTCCTCACATAAAAACGAAATCTTTTCCATGATCATTGGTGCAAACTTAAGCACACCTCTTGGATGTGTACAGTAGAGCTTGAATACAAGACCTTGTTTGATGGGACGGGGTAAAGCGCTAAGACTTCGACACCAGGACCAACGTCGAGAACAGCCGGAGCACGTATGAACACTCCCCGGAATGTCTCTGCCCCACCTTCTTTAGATGTTAGTATAGGTACTGCGATATCAGCTTCAAAACTTTGTATCTACACATCAAAAAACAAACTTTGGTTATCAAGCTTCTGCACCTTTATTGCTGAAGATCTTATTTTGATGCTACGAGTGAATCCACATAGTTTTTTACCTGGCTGCCAAAGAAGTTCCTATGCACGGTGCAATCAAGGCCACCGACTAATTCCTGACCTCCTTCTTTCTGACCTGAGAATTTTCAACATTTCTTCTTGTTTTAGTTTCTAATTTTTTTCTTTGAGAAGAAGATGAATGAAAGTACTCACCAACGGCTCTGTCTGCCAAGAATATAAGACCGGCGCATGTCCCCCAAACTGGTTTCCCCGTCTTAACGAACGCTCGTAAAGCAGGGAACTTCAAAGAAGCAAATGAAAAAAATTTAGAAACAAAATGAAGAAGCTTTCTTTACTATTTGTCCTCTCCACCAAAAAATATGTGTAAGCAATCAAATCTAAACAAACGTGTTTACTTAAACTAAACGTAAATGAAAGCTTTAACCTTTCATGGTTATAGACAAGCTAATCAATATAGCTCTGTAAAAGTTTACATCAAAGATAGCAAAAATTATTCTATAGGATCATCTAGTCAAAGAGTAACACCTACAGAGTAGTACAACGAATCCTAATTCCCAAAGTTCCTTCTTTTTCAATCTCAAAGCCAACTCTTTTGAAGAATACTAGCTGAAATGTTCAAGAATTAGAGACGATTTTGACTCCATCATATTCTTAGCTCATACATATATCATTTCTCCAACAAGGTCAGATTTCTCGTCAAAATCTGAATTCTGGATTTCCCAATTAGTGAATAACGCCAGATTCGTTTCAAACACACATAAAAACGGAACCTTTACTAGTTTCTCCAGGTGGGTCCTCTCGAAAACAAATAAAATTCAATGCTCGAAGAATTCGGATTACAAAACCACAATTCGGATTATGAGAGAGAGAGAGAGAGAGAGGGGGGACCAGGTTGTGGTACTCGGCGAGTTTGGCCATGGTGGTGCTCTCGCCGCCAGGAATGATGAGAGAGGAAACGGTGAGAAGCTGCTCTGCCTTTCTTATCTCGATTCCTTGGACGCCGAGCCGCCGGAGAGACGCGATGTGCTCATTGAAAGAACCTTGCAAAGCTAAAACCCCGACGGTCATTTCCGGCGGCTTGATGAGAGAGGGAGAAAGGAGGAAGAGAGAGTGTCAGATAAAACACTAAAACTGCTTTTGTATGGACTCAGACAGCGGTTTTGTTGTTGCGGGTGGCGACAATTTCTTCCCCATTTGCTTTGTGTGTTTCTTTTGTTGCCCACGATTTGGAATGCTAAATCAGATATTTAGAATTTTAGATTCTTTCCTGATAGGAAAATATTTTATATTTTTTGGGCTGATTTGCTCAACATATAAACTTGAATTTTCTGATGTACAACAAAAAAGAATTTTCTGATGCACCACTATTGTATCCAAAATATCATAATTCCTATGATAAAAAATGTAGAGATTCTAATTCAAATATTCGTGGATATTTTTTAAATTCAATAACAAAAATATTAATGAAAATTTCCCATAAATATTTAAAGTGTTTCATTATAAACCTATGAGTTAAATTACTAATGAAAAATATGTAAAGTAAAGCATCTGCTAACCAAAAACTCTTCCATCTGTAATTTGTTAAAACCCTACACAGATCTTATCACAATAACCACCAATCTGGACAATTGACCCGAATTTGCTTTGGCACTATACAACTTTTGCAATTATAACTTGTTTCTTTCTGAATTTTCTTACTTAGTGTTCTTATCATAAAGTATAAAGTATACTGTTTTAAGACTTATCAACCATGCCAGCTTTTTTTTCATAAGCTCAATATATATGCAAGAGAACAAAAAAAACATAATTTAGTGATGGGCTAGTGCTTTTGGTTGTATGTTCTTTTACATAATTCATTCCCATCCCATGCTCAAAGAACTCCTCCAGTCCAGGTTGGTTTGTGATATCTTTGTTTATTTTTAGAACAAAATAATTTTGTTTTAATGTGTTTGGCATATTAGCTGGTAAAGTTTTTAATATTTAACTCCTTTTTTAAAAAGAAGGTAAATAGAAAAATATAAAACCAAAAACAGAGAAAAAGGACACAGAAGGGCAGAGAATCTCGATCAAAGGCTTCAAAGCTCTCTTTTTTTCTGTGTCTAATCTCACGCACGACGCTGAGAGAGAGAGAGAGAGAGAGAGAGAGAGAGACCTTGCCTTGCGCTACCCAAAATATTCCTTTGTCGTCGTCTTCTCCGATCGAATTCCAAATCAGTTTTCAATGTAAGATTCTCTCTTTTTTTTCCATTTTCAATTACTTGCTATTCTCTGAGTTTTATGTCCTCCTGAATTTTCATTGCATCTCCTTTCCTGAGTTTATTCTGCTCCCATTCATTTCGAAATTAGGTTTTTTTGTCCAATTTGAGGAGATGATTCTGGTTTGTGATTTATGAGAATTTGAATGTCATGCGGTAGAATTTTGTTCTTCATCTCGTCTTCTTATATCTAATTCGATTTAACAATGTTTTGAGTCTATCTTATAGACCTTTTGATTAAAATCATTTGAGTTTGACAATTTGGATTGGAAAAAGTGTCCCCATTACAGTGTCAAGTTATGGATTTCGATTCGTGATTGCGGACTTATCAAACTCAAGCTCGTTTTTTTATTATTATAAAACCCATTCAGGGTACTCATAGTAAAGATTGGACCTTTATTGTTTTGTTTTGCAGAAGTCTGCAATAGCATCTTGACATTATTGGTGGTTGTTGAAGCTGTGTAGCTCTTAATAACTTGGGGCTATGCAGTCAACGAGAACAAGTTGATTTGTGAAGAAAGGTTGCATTTTTTTTCAGATATGTCGCGTTTAGAATGCAGTGGTTATGATAGCTCAAGCTGTATTGCTCATCTCGCTGAATGGCATCCTTTGGAATAGAGACGTTTAATCGGGCTTGAAGCCCTCTCAAAACCCCTTTTATCAGCGGGGTAAGATATTCAATAATCTACAGATTTTGTTGTTAATAATTTGGATTTTAACCTCATTGTCACTTTTGTTGTGTAGGTTCCTTTCAGCATTTTATACTTAAATCATACACTTTTGAAGAGCAATTTAGATAATGTTTCGTGATAGTTTCTTGTTTACCCGTACCTTGGGCTGCTTTGGATGCTTTGGCACTTCTACGAGAGCCAGACAACCGCCAGGCTATGAAGTTGATACATATCCAAGTGACAGTGATGTATCTAGCAGCAATGGGAGAGGAGAAGATGAAGAGGATGAGGAAGAAGTTGAGCAGAAGAGCCGCTCCAAAAGATCTGAGGAAATTTTGAAGTATAGATTAGATAATGGATTGATCTGCAGGCAGTTTCCTGTGAAAGAAACTAATGAGCTTATCCGTGGAGAGGTAAAACTGACTTTCTTTGCCTAGCAAGTTTTATAAATTATTGCTTCTTAATACATATATCCGTTGGTGTGTCTGTAATGGCAATTTATTTGTTGTTTGATTCTCAGGATGAAGATGGTAAAAAGACGATCAATGAGTATGTTCGTGAGTGTAAAATTGGATCTGGTAGCTATGGTAAAGTGGTAAGTGTGAAGCTCATTTACAATACTATTCCAATCCTTTTTAGTGTATCCTCGTAACATTATCTTGTTTGCGTTTACAATAGGTTTTATATCGAAGCACTGTAGATGGCCAATATTATGCTATCAAGGTAAGCTCATGAAGCCTTCCGTTGTTGTCGTTTAGCTGAAGCTATTCAGTTGAATTAGGATCTTTCAGTATGGTGTTAATTTGTTTAGTTGATTACTTGGATTGTCAGGCTTTTCACAAGTCGCAATTGTTGAGACTAAGGGTTGCACCTTCAGAGACTGCTATGAGTGATGTCCTTCGTGAGGTATCATTCGTTTTCCAAAACAGCATTTTCATGTTTTGGAGAAGTTGTTGTTTATGGTGTTTTATCTCGTTGCGTTCAGGTTATGATTATGAAGATTCTGGAGCATCCTAACATTGTTAATCTCATTGAGGTGATAGATGATCCCGAAACTGATCATTTCTACATGGGTACTTATTTCCCCTCTTCTCTTTTCTTACTGTTTTCGATATTTGGAAAGACCCTTTTATCTTATAATGTTTGTCTTCTTGCTTTCTCCTCTTAGTTCTTGAATACGTTGATGGGAAATGGGTGTATGACGGTTCTGGACCGCCCGGTGCGCTCGGAGAGAAAACTGCTAGAAAGTATTTGCGGGATATAGTTACTGGCCTCATGTACCTTCATGCTCATGTATGATCTCTCATTCTCTAGCATGCTTTATCTTGCTTCATGGTTTCATCACCTGATACTGTCTTGATACTGTTTCTTACAGAATGTAATTCACGGGGACATCAAACCCGACAATCTGCTGGTTACTAGTAGCGGTACAGTGAAGATAGGAGATTTCAGTGTCAGCCAAGTATTCAAGGTAATAGAAATGTTACATTGATCTTCATTAATACTTGATGGTGTCTCTTGTGGCCTGAGTTTTGGTTAGCATTTCTGATTGGTTTGTTGTAACAGGATGATGATGATCAACTGCGTCGATCTCCCGGGACTCCAGTCTTCACTGCTCCAGAATGTTGTTTAGGTCAGCCTCCTTTCTAGTATCTTCAAGCTTGGTTCTAGAGTAAGCGATGAATATATTTTGTTGTTTTGTTGGATGGGAATCAGTATCAGGCATAACGTATAGTGGCAGAGCTGCGGATACATGGGCAGTGGGAGTTACTTTGTATTGTATGATCTTGGGACAGTACCCGTTTCTTGCTGATACTCTTCAGGACACCTACGACAAGGTAGGGTTTTTGAGCTCTGATCGTCATTACTTTTTCTTGAGAGTCAAGAAAGCTCCTTGAAGAACCCTAAACCTCTGCGTATTCGTCTCTTAACAGATTGTGAACAACCCTTTGATAATCCCGGATGGATTGAATCCTCTACTGAGAGATTTGATCGAAGGTCTCCTTTGCAAAAGTGAGTTTCTTTTTCATCGTTTTGGTGTTGTGAAACTATAAACCTTTGAGTTGGTAGTGGACTAATGGTGGAATGGACCTAATTGTTGCAGATCCGAGCGAGAGAATGACACTGAAGACTGTGTCGGAGCATCCATGGGTAATCGGAGAAGACGGCCATGTCCCTGAGTATTTTTGTTGCTGCAAACGCAATTCTGCCTTGAAGATTGAGCAAGAAGAAGAAGAAGAAGCTAATGGGACCTCTGAAAATCTGAGATCCTAGCTAAAAACTTTGGAAGCTTTTTGATCGTTTAAAAAATGTACACGCTTGAAGAATAGATGCACACAGACGTTAACATCAGGAAATTGCATCTCCTTATTACAACATACAACTTATTACAAGTTTGATCTCCCTTGCGATCATTGTTTTTTATTTTTTCCCCTTTAATACTAGATAATTGCCATGTTTATTGTGCATTGTTTATAAGTTTTAAAACAAATAACTGTGATCTCGATTTTAATTCTGATATTTGTTTTTTCAATGGACCGGTGGTTGCTTAACTCTTACAAAGATTCATTTCATAACTTGAGTAGAATACAACTCCACCTTTTGTTTATAAGACTCGACAAAGTCTAACAGTAGTGGTACCATAATCTTTGAAATTTTTTTAAAATAAAAATAAATTAGTTTGTGGGCTTTTATGTCTGCCTTTGTGATAGAAGACTAATTGTAGATACTTAACAAGTCAAATTGGAGCAATTTTATCAGTCAATATATTTCACACATCAATTACTAGACCGGTTAAAAACGATAAGATAAGTTACTTCATATTAAACACTTGGGCTTCAAGTGAAAAAATGATATGGCCACCTTCCATCCATTGTCTGATCATATGAAATCAAGATTTGCAACATCCTCATTTCTTTTCTTTTTCGGAGATACGCCAAGGGTTTGCCACAATGTTAACGTATTGTTCTAAAGCTCATTTGGTGGTCCTGATGTGGTGTGCTAAATCTACAGGAGAACTTGAACTCCGAGTATATCGTTGAATAACCTAATAATCCATTGTTTCAAAAGCATTCAGTCGTTTTTCTATACTCAAATTAAGAAGAAAAATACAAACATACAAAAAGAAAAACACAAACCTGATTGAGAAAAGTTGTTCTTCTCTCTTGGGTTTGAGGCGTGCAATGCCTGTGTAAAGATGTATCTCACCGTAATCGACTAAGATCTTCACCAGCTTTGTCTACAGCAAAGGAACCAAAACCAAAACAAATTTCATTCGATGTCAATGACCAAATGAAAGCACAAAAACAAAGAAAAAAAATGAAAAATGACAAACCTGCTCAATAAATTAAAGTTTCTGGGCAATTTATCCATACGTCAGGGCAATCAGAAACTCTAATTTATGAATTACCATAATCTTTGAAAATTTTAGAATAAGAATGAATTAGTTTGTGGGCTCGTTATGTCTGCCTTTGTGAATGATAAAAATGATAAGATAAGCTATAATCATTATAAGGGCCATTTTTCTGATAATTGTGTGAGTTGTTTGTTCATATTTTAAACTACAAATGCAACGTTTCACAAACACCTTTCATCAAAACTTTAAACAGTTTTTAAATTTACAGTAGATATACTTCTATAAAGTTCTTGATTTTAAATAGCAGGAAATTTTCAATTATTTATGTAAACTCCAAGTCCAATAACATCATATCTGAGAAGATATTAAAAAAAATTAAAGGTAAATCTAACAACAATTAGATCTGTAATTTTAAAAGCAAATACAATTCTATAATTGTCTTGAATATCTAGCTATAAAAGCAACCATTCGCTCTCAAATTATTCATGCAGTAGATAACTAAAAATATTTCATATTGACTTATAAACTAGAAAGATCATAGAAGAATGGAATCGTCAAAAACTCATTTTGTTGCTCTTCTTATCATTGTTTCTCTCCTTGTTAACAGTGTGCAATCAACTCGTGAACACTCTTTTTCGAAAGAAATTTGTGGATTTAATGGTCCAATTGTATATTGTAAGAAAAAATCCGATTGTATCGCGCCATGTAAAGACACCCGACCTTATAAGAAGACTTTGTGTGTGCGTAGTGGAGAAGGATATAAGCGTGTGTGTTGCTGTGTAGGACAGAAGAAAAAGAAATAATGTAATTTGACTGAGAAATTACTTTGCCCTCTTATTCATTATCAATGGTCTTTTCTGCTTTTTTGTTGTTGCTTTTCCTTAGTATGTTTTATTCATCTTGTAACAAATGGTATCTCCTATGGGGAAAAGATAAATAAAGGAAATTTAAAGGGAAAAAAAAATTATCAATGATTTATTCAGTTATATATTAATGTCATATGTTTTTTCTTAATTATTTACATCACTAGAAAAAAATTATTCATTTTCGCATCCTCTCCTTCACTCAGTTTCTGGTTACTTTCTCCAGTATCGAGTCTTGTTTCTCAAACGTTTTTTGCTTTCATTCACGAATCAACATAAATTTTAAGAATGATAACTTATAGAAGTAGGACTTTGATCTCATGGAAACTTGCTGAAACTGTAGAAAAACACCAGAAAAACACCACATTTAAGGCAACATTATGCTTTATGCTCCTCTAGAAAAACACCAGAAAAACACCACATTTAAGGCAACTGTACGTGCATGTTTCGCATGTCTTCTAGTGGATGAACATTTAACTTCCCACAACAATTACAGAACAGATTACAGAAGATCAGCAAATATCTTTCTACAAGGATCAGATTGTCATCAAACAGAATGAGGGAAAGATTAGAGGAAGAAGAGATTAAATTACCAAGTCAAAGTTGATTGCAATTATATGTTACTTTGGGCTGCAATTAAGGCCCAATAACTATGTCGGTTTATTATGAGATGTCTATAAAATAATGTGTTGGGGTATAAATGTTGGGGACATTTCATTTTTTCTCTCTCGGAGCTCTCTACTAAAGAGTTCTTAAATTAATCTGTTCCTGATAGATTATTTTCCAAGAATGGACGATGACGTTACGATGAAGGATGCAGCCAATGATACCTTAAGTGTTACGGTAATTGGCTTTCTTTTTTAATTGTGGTCTCTTTCGACATTTTCATTAATTCGTGACATTATGGTTTTTCTAAAAGGAACTCGCCGTTGCTTTACCATCATCGCCTGGAAATGAAAAAGTCAGACGCGGTTGGGGTGAAGCAAGAGAGCCGTCTTATGAGCCATGGCAGCAGCAGGAGGCAGTCTATGAGTCATCTTATTACGACTTTGAAACACTGTCGGATCCTGAAGATGACGTTTACCAACCTTATGATCGACCACCAAGTCCCCCTCCCCCCGGCATTATCGAGGTAGAAGAAACTTTCTATGGCAGTTATGAGGAACAAGCTAAGGTAATCACTTTGCTTTGTTCCATATATTACTGAGATGATACTTTTTTTTTCTTCTTCTTCTTCTTTTGACTCGCTCAACACTTGCTTCTTCTTTTGAATCAGGATAAGATGCTTGTGCGGACACGGCTCTTTGGGAGAATTGGACTTCATTGCTACAATCTCGAAAATGTACGAAAATAATGAATTGTTTTGTCCTGTTTTGCCCTCTACTTATCAACTCTCTCAACTGCTGCTTTACGCTGTTTTAGCGATTTAAGTCGAGTCTGTTTTGCCTTAATTTGCTCTAGGGGACAAACTTTTAACTTCTGGGTCTGGACAAGGAAACTACTACCGCACTGTAATACTAGGGGCAGAGGATCCAACAGGCAATATCAAGTGCAAGTTTTTAACACGTGTTCACCTTGCGGAAGAGAATGAAGGTTGCTTCACTGTCCATACACTCGACGCCAGAAAGCTTCCTCTTGGTAACGATGTAACAATGTTAGATTGGATAACGCACCTTTAACTCCTCTTTGTGACGTGTCTAATAGATTGTTGGTTTCCATGTTTGACTACAGATGGCTTCTCCCAAAACTGGCATCATGGCCCTAGCAGTCTTTGGATGCCCGTTTGGTTGCCTAAGAATGCCGTTGATAAGCCGCAATACTACGAGGTGTGATAGTGATCGTCATCTCCCTTCTCCCCTCTCTACCTTTCAAGTCTTAATCAAATGTTTCCTGTTCTTCTTTCTCTTAACTGAACATCTTTGGTGATGTTGTTTGCACAGATGAATGACTCTGACGTGCAAGAAAACAAAGACTGGCTGCTTGTGTACGCCGAACTCGCCTTGTACTCCTGGTTTGGATACGGGGTGAGGACTTCTACAATACTCTAAAGAGCTGTCTTTACTAGTTGTCTAGGCTAATCATCTCTACTCTAATCTCTTGGTGCTGTCTTGTCTTGTGTTGCAGTTCCGATATCTGGATGCATTGCCTCTTGAGGTGGTAAAGGTTTTTGTGCAAACCACAGAGGATGTCGAGCCGGCCAAGGCCAAGAATGCAATCTTCTACATTACCTTCAAAACCGTCGCTGGTAGGGAGTACAATGGTATCATCAAGAGAGCTACGGATGGGAGGCCAGATCGTTTCTCCCTTGAAGCCACGTGTCCTATGTTCTGAGAGAGTGTCGTGTTAAGACAAAGTAGTGTACTACTAGTGTCATGGCCAAACCAACGAGTCTTGTGTTATAAATCAGGTCTTATGCCATAGAAAGAACATATTGGTACAACATTTGGGGTCAAAAAAGAAATAAGTACAAGTGGAGGACTGGAATAAAAAGACGTTTTACGTTACATAAGCTTGTGTAGTAACAATTAGATGTCTTTTTTTGGCTTCACTTCTTTAAAACGCACCTTTTCTTCTCAAACACCAGCTTTCAGTTTCTCTCTGTTCTGTCTCTCGCAATTTTTATTCTCTCTCTCTCTTCCTTCCTTTGGACCCCATGCCGGTCGCCGGCGAAACCAATTATCTCTAACTATTCCCGGTAAGGTCACCGGAATGACCCGAGACAACGAGATCTAATCCCACCAATTGGAGGTCCTGGGGTAAGCTTGAGGATACTGGATTAGTCTCATCTTCTTCGTTGCATTGCATATCCTCTTTCCGTTGCTCACTGCTCCATTAGTTAGATCCGTATGATCCTTGTTTTCGGATCTGGGCACATTTTTCCAATTTCATATTTTTGGATTTTTGACCTCCGATTCGGATCTGCTTTCTCCTATTCGTAATCTTATTGGGAGAATTTTATTTTCTTTCTCCGTTTGATTGGTATCATTATCATGCTAAATCTCCAGACCCGAATTGAAAAGAGACGATTTTTGATATTTCTTTCTATTTTTTTGTTTGCTTGAAAGTTTAGGATATCCAGATTCTGACGTTTTTGTTTCATTCGGTTTTACAGATTGATTGGGTTTTGCATTGGTCATTGGGTTCTACAGAACTAATCCAACTTTGGCACTCACTGGTTTTGTCTGAAAGTTCTTAACGATGTGTGTTGTGATTGTTTGAAAAAATCTGATGGAAACAAATAAAGAAGAGATGGAGATTGTTTTGGAGCAACAATCACAATCTGTCTCTGGATACTGTGACAATACTTTCCCAATTGAGAAACAGCTGTTTGATGCTTGAAGAATAAAAGAGTCTTTGTTTTCTTCTTTGTGTTTGGATTCTTTATATTGAAATAGGTTTTTCAACAAATAATGGCTTCGGAAGAACAAGAAGTCTCTGCTTCTGCCTCTGCTTCTGTAGTAGAGAACGATGCTCATCGGCTCAGGTTAGGATCAAGCGACTCGCTTCTCCTCCCTGGTCTCATCGACGACGTTGCTCTAAACTGCCTCGCTTGGGTTCCGAGATCGGACTATCCTTCCTTATCTTGCGTGAGCAAGAAGTACAACAAGCTGATCAACGACGGACACTTGTTTGCTCTGAGAAAGGAGTTGGGGATCGTCGAGTATCTCGTCTTCATGGTCTGCGACCCGAGAGGATGGCTAATGTTCTCTCCGACGAAGAAGAAATGGATGGTGCTACCGAAAATGCCCTGCGACGAGTGCTTCAACCACGCGGACAAAGAGTCTTTAGCCGTGGACGACGAGCTTCTCGTGTTCGGGAGAGAGCTGTTTCAGTTCGCGATCTGGAAGTACAGCGTGAGGTCTCGCCGCTGGCTCAAATGCGAAGGCATGCACCGTCCTCGCTGCCTCTTCGCGTCGGGAAGCCTCGGCGGGATCGCGATCGTCGCCGGCGGGACGGACATGAACGGGAACATATTAGCGTCGGCGGAGCTTTACGACGCGTCTTCGGGAAGGTGGGAGATGCTTCCGAACATGCACTCGCCGAGGAGGCTGTGCTCGGGGTTTTTCATGGACGGGAAGTTTTACGTGATCGGAGGGATGTCGGGGCCGAATGTTTCGGTGACGTGCGGGGAGGAGTTTGATTTGGAGACGAGGAAGTGGAGGAGGATCGAAGGGATGTATCCGAATGTGAACAGGGCGGCGCAGGCTCCGCCGCTTGTTGTGGTGGTGGATAATGAGCTGTTCACGCTGGAGTATTTGACGAGTATGGTGAAGAAGTATGAGAAGAAGGAGAACAAGTGGGAGGTGATGGGGAGGTTGCCTCCGATGGTGGACTCATCGAATGGTTGGGGTTTGGCGTTTAAGCCGTGTGGGGAGCAGTTGCTGGTGTTTTGTGGGCAGAGAGGGGTTAATGGGGAAGGGATTGTGGTGAATGCTTGGAGTCCGAGGTCGGGAGGGAAAGATGGGAACTTGGATTGGAAAGTGATTGGTGTTAAAGAGAATGTTGGTGTGTTTGTGTATAACTGTGCTGTCATGGGTTGTTGAAAAGAGAAAAAAAAACAAGGGATGTTTGTTTCTTTTCAGCTTTGGAAGTTCGGTTTTTTGTTGTTGTTGTTGTTGTTGTTGATTTACATCAAATCTTGTCTCTTTAGTTGTTTTTCTAGTTTTCATTGTTCTTGTTCTTGGGATGATCATGCTGTTGTGTCTTTGTTCTGCTTTTTTAGTTTTGTGAGTAAATTGGAAAAGGAAAAGGAAAATTCATTACACTGCAAAATGTTCATCATTTACTTCAATAAAACAAAAATTTCCCAATGTGTTTATATTGTTTTGCTCGAGATTTGATTGTTGTGAATGGAGAAAACATGTGGCAAGTCTTTTCATATGGAAGAGAAGTGAGGGGGCTTTTAATGGAGGGTTCGTGATCCCATAAGTTTCAGTTTGGGTCCCACGCGACACAAAGCCGGAGGAAGAGGAGAGATGATTTATGATTATTGACTGATCTGATCAACAAAATAACGTTTGGTTTTGATAGTTTTGTGCACGCAATATATTTTAATTAGTTAAGGTCGGTTTGTTTGATGTACATACAAATTATTAGTCTGAAATTTTCAGTGAGCTCAGGATGATCCTTATTTTTGCAGACAGCATCAGTACACATGTGGGATACTGGTGTCGAAAAATTTCAGTGTGTTACAACCTATATAGTAGTTCCTAAATCATGATTTTTAGTTCGTTTTCTTATTTTGTGAATTTGTTTTTTCGTACTGTACACTATAAATGTCAAAATTGTTAGCGACAAAAGATCTTAGGGTAATAGGCTTCTCAACCACTCACTACACGGCTACACCCACAAAAATATTGAAGCTTTATGTATCACATTCTAGCCCATTAAAAAACCAGGCTTGGCGGGTGTATATATATATACGTTAGTTTATTATTGATCAAAGGTATACTTTTAAATTTTCCTACTAGTTATAAATATAACTTTTAAATTGTCTCGGTTTTATGTTTTTATTTTTTTCTGATAAAGGATTGTCTCGATTGCTTGTAACTTATCAGATGTACACAAGTAATCCCAAAATTTAAGATAATGACGTGTCGGATGTAATGGATTTGATTTTCGCATTGACATGCCTTTGCAATTTGCAATTTTTCAGTTTGGTCATGTGTTCCCAGGGGGACCTAGTATATTTGCAATTTTGCATCCGTGAAAAATGACATGTGATACGAGTTTGTATATATTCATTCGTCATATGACCCATGAGTCTACGTAAGTATTAATATATATATGAAAATATCAATTATTATGTATTGTCTTGGAAGTTAATAAAAAGTTCGCTATTTATGGAAATTTGTGGTGGCTTGTTAATTTTCCTTAGGAATTTTGTGATGGAAACTATTATTTTATCGAATAAACTATTGATCGTTTTAATCCTAAACAAAAAAATGTATTGTTAATGTCAAGAGTCTCAAGACACTATTAGTCTATTAGTCTGTTACCCATCCTATTTTAAGAACGAAAATGTTAGTAAATAAGGATATTCCAATAAAAATACTTGGATAAATCATGTGAAATGTGTCATAATCATATAATTTAAGATTTTCCAAAAGAAAAGACAAAACTTGATGGCTGTGTCATAAAACCCACTAAGGTCACCGTAAGTAGGTTTGTTTAAGTCTACTTATTCTAAAGAACCTTGTAGTTGATTCTTTCTCCCCAACAATGTGGTGCTTTCTCACTCACGTATCTATCTATGTACGTAGTGTATTATACATTGTTACGTATAGTCACGCACACCGATTTTGATTACTTTTGTTATTTGTTACAAATTATATATGGTTAATTCATGACCTACGTACGTAACTGCAAACTTGCAAACCCTACATAAACCCAAGAGCGCATAAGCCAGTTCGTAAACCTAAATTTGGACAATTAATTAGTCAGTTATCATACCTACGAAATTATTTAAACTTGCTGATTTTTTTGGTTATCCGCACACGTACATACATTATACATAATGCATCATATTCCTCATGTGGAAAGAATTGTTAGAAGTTCGTTTGAAGGAAAACCTATATATATATATATATATATAGTCTACGGGGGTGGAGGATATTGTATAATGAAGATAAACATAGATTTAGCTTTTCAATTTATAGTGGGTCTTGATTGATCATATATATAGGTTCTAACTTCTAATACATGGCTAAAAGAAGCTTATTATGATAGATGTAAGCATAATTCTATAATCATTACAATAATTCTAATTAATCCTGTAATGTTATATAAGCATATGTATATATATATTTATAGAGAGAGAGAGAGAGTAACCTACTACCAATATGCGCAATATGCTTTGGGGTTGCCTTTTGTGTGTCGGCCAATTCTGGTGTGTTTGGTTTAGCATTCTACTTTCACGTAATCGGTAGGTTTGGCCATTCAGATAACATCCCAATCCAAACATATACTCGATTGAATTTTCATTTCTCTTTCACTTATATACACATTTACATGAATTTTAATTTCCTTTATACTCCTATGGTTGGTGGTTCATGTAGCCGAATATGTTCAACGAATATCGTTTAGGTTTCAGATTCACATAATAAATTATTGTCACGAAATGGTGACCATTTCCTGTCAATAACAATTTAAAAAAAAATTAAGTTGGAGTGGACCAAAACACATGAAATTTAAGGTGTGCATTTGCTTTGTGTTTGTTTATTTACAACTTTCGCTTTGTGTATTCTATAATCGATAGGAACATATTCAATTATTTGAACTGAGGAAACGTGATGAACGATATATATGGATATTTTATAACGCTTCTTTGGAGCGGTAAACACATGTAGGATCTTGCCAATTCAAAAGCAAACATGTTAAAAAAATGATAATGCAGAGAAAATATAAAAGTGTTACTTTAGCAAATGAAAAAACTTGAAGACACTTGCTATCTACCATGCAAATTACTCTAAAATTTAACATAGTTACTTATATATCGGCAAAGTATTATTTTGTTGACCAGACTTACTAGACAGGATGAAAATGAATGTGTAAGATGATTCATACACATGGAAAGAAACACAAATCTTCAATATATAGAGAAAATAGAAAGTCTTCAGCTTCACACCTCCGATGAAGATTGGCTGATTGTGATTCAAGGTCAAAATACTTTATTCATGCAAGTGATTACTCCTACAATGTTTTTTAAAAAGCAGAGATTCTTCGTAAGAAGCAAAATATGAAAAATAAAGTTACTTTTATTTGGGCATCAGTCCAAAGTAGAATTCAAATATAATATCGACTTTATGGTTCGATATGAACAATATTTTCAAAATGCTTGTAGAAACTCACAAAAGACATAGTTTTTTGAGGTTTTGTATGTTTGGGATTATTCATTATCAAAGAAAAATCATATATACTACTTTCATCAGAAAAACATACAAGATGCAAGTGTGAATTAGTTTGTGCGGGACAATCACTGCAGGTCGAAATGTGGTACATATATAAATAATCAAAATTGATAACTAATACTTTTATTTGGCAAAAACAAAACTGTTTAGAGTGGAATTTAAGCTTTGAAAAATAATTATAGAGGCAAAAGCCGCAAAACATATCAACGTCAATTAATAGAAGCAAAAACATAGAAAATGTCACATCACATTTCGAATTTTCGATAGTTGTCGTATAGAATAATTAATTAATGAGAGATAACGTATTATCTGCGCCACCTAACTAAGCACAAACTTCACTCATGAGTCATGATATGTACGAAAATTCCGATCTCCCAGTACTTATATAACACGTCAAACAAGCATCCACAAGAAAAAAAAGTCAAACAGTTGCAGAAATAATAACAATAATCAAAGCATAGAATATCGCTTAAATTTACTTTACATCCAGTAGACAAAGAAGTTCGTTTAATACTCCTAATTAGCTGTCTGCACATGTCGTCGAAAGAATTTAATAAAACTATGTTAATTACTTAATTCCTCTAATCTATGTTTCATAGATCTAAGCCTATAACCGGAAATGAAAACTATAGTCAAAAACTAATTTAATTATGGAAATCTTTACACCGTTCTGATGACTATAATACATACAAATGCAGGTGTTACATCAAACTCAGGTGTCAAAAGCAAACACGAACAAGAACAAAAGCAACTATCACATAGTACACTACACATGTCATACATTCACACGAGTTAGTACTTATACACAAAATCACATAATTTTTTATTATTCGACTAATCAAATTGTGCCGCACCTCACCAAATAACACCGCCTAATTACTTAAATTATAGGTTCAACAGAATTAGATGTTAGAGCCCAACACTTGTGACTTATCCAGAAAAACATTTTCGACATTTACATCCACAAACAGAAAAAAAATAACATTTTTAAAACACTCGTAATGCTTTGAGTCTTTTAGGCAAGAAAAGGATGAAAATGAATTGAGAGAAGGCAAATCTTAGAGAAACAGAGAGATGGAGAGGTAGGCCCATCTCTCTCTACATAAATGAGAATCATGCTTTTCTCTCTCCTCCTCCATTTCTCTCAATTCTTCTTCCTCATTTACAGCCCAATTCCACTATCTATCTCATCATCATAAGCACTAATCTCGAGAAGATAAAGAAACTCCTGTCTCTCTCTCTCTCTGTTTCTTCCGTTGCAAAGTTTCTTCCTTTTGGGCGGGTTTTCAGGAAATTTTGGATTTTTCTCTTTTTTAGGGACGTTTCTTTTTAGTTTTTCTGGGTTTCTTGTAGTTGTGGGTTTCGTTTCTCAGTTATAGGTACTGTGTCACGCTTTTCCCTCTAGCAAACAAAAAACTGTGAAAGCTTGTGACGTCTATTTATGATTATTCTGAGTATTTGTCTTGCCTGCTAATAAAAGTCTTCACTTTTTCTATTGCTAAGGTTTGGCTTCGTCTTCTCTTCCTTTCACTTCTGCTTTTGAAGAAGAATATTTCAAAATTAAATCTATCGCTGTCTGTAATTGTATAGTGATGGGTACTGAGGAGAAGCCTCTTAATCCTCTTGATTCAAGCCATGGTGTTTCTGCCTCTTCTTCAAATCAGGTACACAAGTTTGACTCTTGGTTTCAATGATTTGATCTTTGAGCTAATTTAGATGTGTCTGTAAGAGAAAGTTGTTGTTCTTGAATTGAATTGAAAAGTGAGAGCCTTTTGTGCTAATTACTTGCTAAAAATTGATTGGTATGTTTAAAAATCCATGCTTTTTTGGAGCAGATCAAATTGACTTCTCATAGAACTCTTTTGCTACATTCATTTTTGTTGTTGATAAGAAGGCAGAGGAATCGTCTGCTATAACAGAAGAGACTTCTACAAATGTTCAACAATGGAGGCGAAAGAATCTCTCTTTGCAGATACCCTCAAGAGCAGCTGGTCTCTCTCCAGAAGACTCGGTGGTAATCAAAATGCCTCCAACGCCTAGTCCAACTCCAAGAAGAGTGAACTTTGCTTTGACTTCGACTTCGACATCTCCAGGTCATAATCCTGCTTCTTCTTCTTCTTCCTCTTCTGCTGCTGTTCCTCCGCGTGGCAAATCCTCCCTGAAGAATCTAATCCCAAAAGTTGGATTCAAACCAAAAACCTCTAACACCGATATAGAGAAAGGACATGGAGATGTCTGTTCTCCTTCTGCATTGCAGGAGAAGGCGTCAATATCAAGGTCATTATCACTCTCAAAGCTGTTTACGCCTCGGATCAAGAGAACTTCATCTCTACCTGTGACTCCCATTGTTCTTTCAAACTCAGAGTCAGCTCATGGAGGAAGCAGTGCTGCTCCTCAAACTCCAAGTGTAAGCCTTTCTTCTCTCTTGTATTGCTTCAGATACCTTACTCTCGTTTAAGTTTACTCATACTTTTGGTATTGCAGAGCAAAGGGAGTGTCAAGATAGCTCGCTCTCGCTCTGTTCCCGTCAGTGACAAGGAAGCAAGTCTCAAGGGAATGGATTCATTCTTCAGAGTGATTCCTTCGACTCCTCGTGTTAAAGAAGGAGACGTTTTCCCAAACGCATCAGAGTCTGGTGATGCTGGTGAGTTCATGCTTTCTTTTTCCCCTTTGAGATATCTGTTTACTGTAACACAGCAAAATCGAATCTTGATGTATTGAGCAGAGACAGGTGATGCTGCTGATGGAGAAGACATACCTGAGGATGAGGCAGTTTGTAGGATTTGTTTGGTAGAGCTCTGTGAAGGAGGGGAAACCTTGAAAATGGAGTGTAGTTGCAAAGGGGAACTTGCTCTCGCCCACAAAGACTGTGCTCTTAAGTGGTTCACCATAAAGGGTAACAAGACCTGTGAGGTGTGTAAACAAGAAGTCAAGAACTTGCCTGTAACACTCTTACGGATCCAAAGCATTCGAAATTCTGGTATTCCTCAAATAGATGTCACTGGTTACAGGTAAAATAATCTTATATTTCTCATTCTTGTACAAATTTATCTGCAAGTGTTGAAATATTTGGTTAAAGAGGAAACTTCACCAAAATCTCTTGCATGATTTTCTCTACAGGGTTTGGCAGGAGGTCCCGGTTCTAGTAATCATCAGCATGCTCGCTTACTTCTGCTTCCTCGAGCAGCTCCTGGTAATCAAGAAGCAACTGGATAAAGACATACATATACAGATGTACTTACAGACAGATATTTATAACAGTAATTTTCATTTGCAGGTTGAGAAATTGGGTACTGGTGCAATCGCAATATCACTGCCGTTTTCTTGTATTCTTGGTCTTCTTGCATCCATGACCGCATCAACCATGGGTAGGCCTTCTCTTGGAAAAACTCTTTTTATAATGTTCTTCCTCCACTCTGATCTGTTTGTTGGTTCTGGAATGATCTTGTGCAGTAATGAGAAGATTTGTCTGGATTTACGCATCAGTCCAGTTTGCTTTGGTTGTTCTCTTCGCTCATATATTTTACTCTGTGGTTAGTACTCTTTCAACGCATCTCTTTTGTTATTGCCTTTAAACTAAAGCTAAATAACTTGCAAGCTTGTGATTTAGCCGACAAAGTTCAAACTTTGAAATCTCTTAGAGCAAAATTGGACATAAAGTTGCAACCTTTATAACATATCTTTCGGTGGTTATCAGGTGGCGTTGCAAGCAGTTCTGTCAGTACTTCTGTCAACATTTGCTGGATTTGGTGTCTGCATATGCGGAAGCTCAGTGATGGTTGAGTTTGTGAGATGGAAACGAAGATGGCGAGCCAGAAGGCTAGAGCAGCAGCTGAACCATGCTCAGACGCTGCAGCCAACACCACAACCGCTGGATTCAACAACCTCTCAGCATCATCCAAATGCCTCGTAGAGCCAGCTAAGTGGGAAAAGATGATTTTACATTAATACAGTTGTAGTTTGTTAATGTTATGTGATGATATGTATAAAGGAAAAAGGGAAAGTGATGAAGGAATGCTTAAGATTGTTCTTCTGTTTGTCTTTGCTTCTTTACATACACCCATTTGTATTATTGTTGTAAGGTTGTAAGTTGTAACTTTGATTGCTCAATCTCTGCAAATGAAATGTTTGTTGTTGTAGTCTTCAAAGTTCCCACTCATAATATAGGAGTTATGAAAACAGATGTGATTACGAAATTAGATCAAAGAGTCTAGACTTTGATAAATTAACTAACAAAATAGTGTATACTCTAGTATGATATAAAATTTTAAAAATTGAAATTTTAAGCAACTAAACCTTAATCTCTTGAACAAATGGTCTATTTCACTGATTTTTAAATGTTGGTTGTAGTAGTGCATTAGTTTTTAAAATTATCACTCATAATATAAGAATTATGAAAGTAGCTTAAATATTATTACAAAATAGTGTATACTACAATATAGTATTATAAAATCCTAAATCATACTCAAAAACTAAATCCTAAATTCTAAATTCCAAATTCCATATCTCTCACCTTAATACAAACCTAAACATGGCATAATTTTCAAGTTGTGTGGACTACAAAAAGAAAAAGGAAAATCAAACTGAAAAGTGGTCACGAGGCAATCACGTGCCAATTCGGAAGACAGACTTTTCTTCTTCTCTGTTCCTGACTTTGGCAGAGTCTTTGCCTTCTACTTCTCCACGACGGTGAACGCCGCCGAAGTGTAAGATTACAGCGATGAACTTCTCCACGAGACTCGCCGAGAAACTTCCCGGTATCTTACCGGCGCCGTCGTCTCCTCTCCTGCGTAAAGGTATTATTTTTTAATCCGTTCTAATCGTTTCACGCTTGGTTTTTCGTCCTGTGACCTTTTCCAAGGTTTTGGGTATTGCTTATTCGTTCTGTTTTCTGATAAGATTGGATTCAAACTGAAGTAGAATAGGAGGCAAATTTATGTTTCTGGGTTTCTCTCTGTTTGCAATTTGTAGTTAAAAGTTTTGCTCTTTTGTCTCTAAGAGAGGAAGGAAACTCCTGTCCTTAATCAAATCTACCATCACTGAATCGAATAAGGGAACTTTGTTTTCAATTCGTATAGCTAATGATCATTCATTCATCAATCTTCTCTTCTCATGTGTATTAGGAGTCCCCGAGCTAAGATTCTTCTCGATTGCTGCTAACCACAGTAGAAGATTGAGATGGGGATTGCAAAAGAAGATGGTTTGGAGTTTCCAGAGAGCAGATGTCTGTGTAGCGAACAGTTCATGCTTAGTCCATCCCGCAACCGAAGCCTATGCACAAGAAGCTATAGAAGCAATCAAATCCGAGAAAGTCATCGCTGTGCCTACCGATACACTCTACGGATTCGCTTGTGATGCTTGGTAATATATACATTATCTTCACTAGTGGTGATTAGCTGAATAAGCTTTACTTAATTCCTGGACTGAGTTGTGATTATGTATGTAACATAACAGTTCGTTAGAAGCGGTTACTCGGATATACGAGATCAAAGGTCGTAAGCTTACAAGCCCTTTAGCTATATGCGTTGGCGATGTATTGGATATCAAGAGAGTCGCTACCACAAACCACTTACCTCACGGTTTGCTCGACTCGCTCTTGCCCGGTCCAGTCACTCTCGTGCTTCAAAGAGGTTTGCATCTTCTTCTTGATGTGTTTGCGTCGATGTGGTGATCTCTTTATATGAGAGTGTGTTGTTTTAGTGTTTGAAACAGGTGAATCAAGCATTCTTGAAAAGACTTTGAACGCCGGGATTGATACTATTGGAGTACGAGTTCCAGATTGTGAGTTTATTAGGGAAGTAGCGAGAGGCTCCGGGAGTGTGTTGGCGCTTACAAGTGCGAATCTAAGCGGTGATAGAAGCAGCGTTTGCGTTCAAGATTTTGAGAGTCTTTGGCAGCATTGTGCTTTTGTCTATGATGGTGGTTTGCTTCCTTCGGGTCGTGCAGGATCTACGATTGTCGATTTGAGTAAAGTCGGAAAGTATAAGATCATCAGACCTGGAAGGTATGCATTTGGGAATTAATGGATTTAAAAGTTTGAATCTTTTTGAGGTTCTTGAGCTAGTAACTTAACAAGATGTTGTTTTTGTTCTTGATTCAGCGCGAAGCAAGCAACAGTGGCAATTCTTGAGAAGTATTTGCTGGAAGAAGAAGAAGAAGAAGACTGTTGAGAGAAAAAATCTGGTTAAAGTATGATCTGACTTCCAAGAATCTGAGGTTTTGATTTGGTTCTAAATCGATTTTGGCTATTGGCTTTAAGACATGTATGTGTATTGTGTAGTGTAGTGTTGTTATACGAGACGATAGTTGATTTTGAGCGGATGCTAACTCCTTTATTTTCGTGGCACGTATGTGTAATCTAAAGGGAATTGGTGGACCGTTCCATAATTTTTTACTTGAATTTCTTCTTATAACATCATTTGGAAAAATAGCTATGGAATATTACATCATTTTCTTTTGGTAAAATACTCGTGTATTTTATAGAAATAGCCAAAATAAGTTAGTAATCTTTTGTGAATTTTTTCCAAATAAAAGAGATTACATTTTTAGTTTCTCATTTTCGCCATATTGTTTCTAAAACGTGTCATCATCAGTTTTCTCCATATCATTTTTTTGAAGAAATCGCTAAAAATATTTTCTCTAAAAATTGAAAGATAAGAGTCCAGTTTTCGATTTCCACGTCTCCATGCTCTTCTAAACAAAATTGGAGTGTAAAATGCCATATGGTCTTCTTCTTGTCTGTTTCTACTTTCTAAACTCAAAATAACGTTTATCCTCAGTTTCCTTGACTCCTCCCTCAGGCCTCAGCTTATAAAAGTGAAAATCAATCCCTCTCAAACTCTTCTCACCACTAATTTCTTCCTCTGGAACATTCCTCTTCTCTATTTTTGATTCCTTGGCTCCAACAGTGCTTTCTCAATTGCGTGTTCTCCGCTCGCCTTCAGGTACTGTTTTTCGCGCCTAGAAAAAAACGTTTTAATGAGTTTTCTCAAATTTGTAGAATTGGTTCGTGGGTGTCGAGATTACGAAGGAAAGTAGTATCCTTTTCTCTGGGTTTCTGTATAAATTTCCATTGGAGAAGGAAGAAAATTTTGTTGGGCAATTCTGTATAATTAGTCTTTTCTGCATTAGTCTGCTTCAGAATCAGAAATTAAGCAAAATATAAAGTTTTGATTTTCTTTTTATCTTCAATTCCCGTGATCGTCCCAGTTGATAGTTTTGTCAGCTAATTTTGCTCTGTGGGCTATGCAGTTACTTTGATTCACTGAGAGAAATGGCGACTGGAGTATTACCAGCTCCGTTTTCCGGGGTCAAGAGCCCGGATTCGAAACTCGGATTCGCTAAAAGCATGAATTTTGTGAGAATTTGTGATTTGAGAAATCTTAGATCTGCTGGAAGAAGAGTTTCGGTTATCCGGAATTCGAACCAAGGCTCCGATTTAGCCGAGCTTCAACCTGCATCAGAAGGAAGCCCTCTCTTAGGTATTTAGATTCTCATTTTCTAGATTTTGTTTTGTTCGAAGTGACTGATTGATTGTATGTTGTATTGCTTTTTTGTAGTGCCGAGACAGAAGTATTGCGAGTCATTGCATAAGACAGTGAGAAGGAAGACTCGTACTGTGATGGTTGGAAATGTCGCTCTTGGCAGCGAACATCCCATAAGGATTCAAACGATGACTACATCTGATACTAAAGATGTTGCTGCAACTGTTGATGAGGTCTTTTTGCATCTCTCCCTAAGATCTTATTTGAAGTTTGAAAAATATTGCTTTGTTAAAACATTGGTCCTGTGATTGTAGGTTATGAGAATAGCAGATAGAGGAGCGGATATTGTGAGGATCACTGTTCAAGGGAAGAAAGAAGCCGATGCATGCTTTGAAATCAAAGATAAACTTGTTCAGCTCAAGTAAGTCTCCATGGCCGTATATGTTCATTTTGTGGATTTTGAGTAAGTATGAAACTGAAATTGGCATTTTACAGTTATAATATACCTCTGGTGGCGGATATTCATTTTGCTCCTGCTGTAGCCTTGCGAGTAGCTGAATGCTTTGACAAGATCCGCGTCAACCCTGGAAACTTTGGTACGCTTCTTTCTTTTTTTAGTCTCTCACTTGTTGCTTTAACTCGAGAATGAATGAAGGATTTTTTTTGCCTTTGCAGCGGACAGACGTGCTCAGTTTGAGACGATAGAGTATACAGAAGATGAATACCAGAGCGAACTTCAACATATCGAGAAGGTAGAAGAAAGCATTTGTCTTTTGAGACCTGCAAAAGTATTAATCAGTCTACAACCATTTGTTTTCTTAGGTTTTCACTCCTTTAGTTGAGAAATGCAAGAAGTATGGGAGAGCCATGCGTATAGGGACTAACCATGGAAGTCTTTCTGACCGTATCATGAGCTATTACGGGGATTCTCCAAGAGGAATGGTGAGAAATCTTAAAGCCTTTCGAAAAAGTTTCTCTCTTTTTACACATGTACTGTTGTCTGATCTGAGTTTGTCACACAGGTTGAATCTGCGTTTGAGTTTGCACGGATATGTAGGAAACTAGACTATCACAACTTTGTCTTCTCGATGAAAGCGAGCAACCCTGTGATCATGGTCCAGGCGTACCGTTTGCTCGTGGCTGAGATGTATGTTCATGGATGGGATTATCCTCTGCATTTGGGAGTCACTGAGGCCGGAGAAGGTGAAGATGGGAGGATGAAATCTGCAATCGGAATCGGGACGCTACTTCAGGTACCTCTCATTACATAACAAAGGGTGAAGATGTTTTACTTTAATAGTTCATATGTAACGATGATTGTTTGTGAATGCAGGACGGACTTGGTGACACAATCAGAGTATCGCTGACTGAGCCACCAGAAGAGGAGATAGATCCGTGCAGGCGATTGGCCAACCTCGGAACAAAAGCTGCTCAGCTTCAACAAGGCGTTGTATGAATGCTTCTTCTTCGTCAGATGCTTCTCAATTACAGTTTCTACTTTATGTGACTAATGCAACATTTTGTGTATTAGGCACCGTTTGAAGAAAAGCACAGGCATTACTTTGATTTTCAGCGTCGGACTGGTGATCTACCTGTACAAAAAGAGGTAAGACTGTACATTTCTGAAATAAGTTTCATGGACTTCATGATGTCGTTTTCAAGTATTGATATGATTTTGTTCTGAAAACTATAGGGAGAAGAGGTTGATTACAGAGGTGTCCTTCACCGTGATGGTTCTGTTCTGATGTCGATTTCTCTGGATCAACTAAAGGTGAGTGTTTATAAATACTCTTCTCTTCTTCTTCTGATGTTTCTTTAATGCAGAATGTAGAACAGATCATTGTCTTTTTTGTTCACTATTTCGCTTTCTTTCTAGGCACCTGAACTCCTCTACAGATCACTAGCTACAAAGCTTGTCGTGGGCATGCCATTCAAGGTGAGGATATGGTTCATTTAATTTCCAAGAGAGATGATTTGATAGATATTCCCAATTCTTACTTGGCGAGTAATACTTGTATAGGATCTGGCAACTGTGGATTCAATCTTGTTAAGAGAGCTACCTCCTGTAGATGATCAAGTGGCTGTAAGAATCACCCTTTGTTTCTCCATATCATCTACTTTTAAGATTTGGCATAAATGGATATAAGCATTGAGTTTTTGTTTACAGCGTTTGGCTCTTAAACGGTTGATCGATGTCAGTATGGGAGTTATAGCACCTTTATCAGAGCAACTCACAAAGCCATTGCCCAATGCAATGGTTCTTGTCAACCTCAAGGAGCTCTCTGGTGGTGCTTACAAGCTTCTCCCTGAAGGTGGAGCCAAAACTCTCAGTGATAAAAGAAACAACTTTTTCAGTATTTCTTAGCTTTGAGTGATTTCAGGTACACGCTTGGCTGTCTCTGTACGAGGTGATGAGCCATATGAGGAGCTTGAAATACTAAAGAGCATCGAGGCCACTATGATTCTCCATGATGTACCCTTCAATGAAGACAAAGTTAGCAGAGTACACGCAGCTCGGAGGTAATAATCAGAGACTTCTCGCTATGCAATCTCTTGCTTAGTTAAAATTTATGACCTTTATCAGCTAAGTGATATTCTTTTTCTCTGGATTTGTAGACTATTCGAGTTCCTATCAGAGAATTCAGTCAACTTTCCGGTTATTCACCACATTGAGTTCCCAACCGGAATTCACAGGTAGATAACGACTGAAACCCGAACGTCAAAGCTTTGTGCAGTGAATGGAAAATACAGTTTGATCTTATGGTTTCTTCCTTCTTCTTGTGAACAATGCAGAGACGAATTGGTGATTCATGCAGGGACTTACGCTGGAGCCCTTCTTGTAGATGGACTCGGTGATGGTTTAATGCTTGAAGCACCTGACCAAGATTTCGATTTCCTTAGAAACACTTCTTTCAACTTATTGCAAGGCTGCAGAATGCGTAACACCAAGACGGTAATAAAGCACAAAGAATCTGTATTTTTCTCAAAATACTTCCTCAAAGAAAAGTAATAACTTGCGAAGTTGTTTGTCTCAGGAATACGTATCTTGCCCGTCTTGTGGAAGAACATTGTTCGACTTGCAAGAAATCAGCGCTGAGATTCGAGAGAAGACTTCTCATTTGCCTGGCGTTTCGGTTAAAAATCCAACCTTTTTCTGTTTCTGAAGAAGAGTTTTCTGGTTTTTTGGATTGTTTAAATGAATGGATTGAATAATGACGCAGATTGCTATCATGGGTTGCATTGTGAACGGACCAGGAGAAATGGCAGATGCTGATTTCGGCTATGTAGGTGGCTCTCCCGGAAAAATCGACCTTTACGTCGGAAAGGTAACACCTTTTATGCTTTTAGTGAATGTGCTCAAATATGTATTACTAGTTTCAATTCTCCGAGCTTCCGTTTGACAAAGGATTGGGTTTTAAATATCTGGACAGACGGTGGTGAAGCGTGGGATTGCCATGACGGGGGCGACGGATGCTCTCATCGGTCTGATCAAAGAACATGGTCGTTGGGTCGACCCGCCGGTGGCTGACGAGTAGACATGTAGTGGTTTCAACGGTGGAGATGGATGGATCATTTTCTGAAAATAAGTCTGTGACAGAAGATATATGTGTGTATATGTATCTATTTGTTGTGCATTGCATCATATTCAACAATGGCAAAATCTCTAAATTGATAGCAGTTTCTCAGTCAAAATAAAAACAAAGAGAAGTCAGTTTAACAATGGTCACATCTCTAATAAATTGATAATATTCATCAAACCTTTTCAAAGATATAACAAATACGTTGTTCACAAATATCTTATAATGAGAACACCCCTCATAACGTACAAAAGTGTCAAGAGTGGCATACAAGGAAACCAAATTACTATATGAAACACAAGATCGCTTCTTCTTTTTTTTCTTCAGATAATTGCGACGTAAAACATTTTTATTTATCGTAACATCATTAACTTAGGAAGATGTATATATGATGGAGACTTGAAGAATGGAAAGAGACATGACTAATCGGATAAGCAGCAGCAGACGGGACGACCCTTGGGTCCTTCGAAGAGGCAGTGGCCGTCCATAACCTTACCATCGCCTTTCCTGTGGCAATGTGTGTCGCAGTCGCTATCAGCGCTGCATGTTCCTCTCAAGAGACATGGTCCGTCTCTTACTTCTTTTTCTGTTTGCATGCAAATTTTGTAAGAAATGTGTAGCTTATTATATGAAACAGAACGCGACCCACTAAAATTTGAAACTTTTTAAACAACTTTTGGTTTTTGAAATTATCACTTTTGACGACGTTTTGAAAATGCCATAAAATTACAATCTATGAAGGATTAGCACCTGACTCATTTTTGAAACCCTTCATATATATCTAAAATTTGTGTTCTATTGGAAGTTTATGGCTTTGAAAAATATAACATAATTTTTTTTGTATAAAACGTTGGAGCAAAGAAGAAGAAAAAAAACATCTATTAATGCAGAAAACTTAAGTACCTGCGGATTGGGCAGCAATAACGAGAGAGAAGATGACGAGAAGAGCAACAAGTTGAAATCTTGATGAAGCCATTTTTCAATTTCTTTCTTTTGTATTGCAAGATATTCAACTTAAATTTGTGTCTGGAAAACTAGGATCGTTTTTTTGAGGATTTATATGTCAAAATAAGTTTTAAAGATAGTAATTTTATCTTTTTGTTTTCAAGAGTTCACCGTTTTTAGTCACGGTGTGAATTATGGTTAATGTAAGCAATAAAAGAAAATAAATCTCCTCAAAATAGAAGTAGCTATCGTTTCTTACAGCTAAATTTGGCGAGGATAAACAAAATTCGGACGGTAGAGAAGTATAACTTTGACTAGTTGAAAATTTCGAAAACCTCTACGTGTATGCGTACAAAAATCAACGCAAACACATCCAACGCAATGTCCATGATACGGAACGGAACTACGGAAACATCTTAGGTTTGATTAAAAAAATCATTAATATGATCTTTAGAAGATAATTATCTAGTTTTTCGACAAAGAATAATCCAAAACTATAACTATAAGCATAACTTGCAACAAATTAAAACATCTTAAGTTTTTCGAGATAATAGACCATAAATTATCTAGTTATGTATTGGGAGATCATACTCAAACAAATCATTAATATATGATATTTAGAAGAGAATGAAACACATTGCATAATAACACACTTCACTTCCGGAATTGGTCTTGACAAAACATAACATCACTGTTAAAATTAAATCAAATGAGTCATACCATGTCATGACTTGCTATATTTGAGCTTTTCGTTAACTTGAAATGTCCGTTAAAAATGTTTGTTTTTCAATGTTTAGTGATGATTTATTTATCGGTGCAAATAAAATAATTAGCGATTAACTAACTAGTGATGTTTCCAGGATCATATAAGTAGGAAAATATCAAATTTCAAAAGATTATAAGAACAAACAAACAAATATATACTAATTTTTGTTTACAAAAACAAAAATGCAAAGCTATGTCTCTTCAAAAGATCTCAGTCGCGGCGTATTCATATCTTGATCGACGAATGTTCTCTCGCCGTTTCTTCAACACATATCCACCGACGCCGACCATACTCGCAGCTGCTATCGCTCCAACCGCGATCCCGGCCATCTTCCCGCCGCCATTTCCACCGTCTCCGGAGGATTCTTCTCCTTCCATTCCGGTAACGTCAGTATGATTGAGATTACTACCTCCCGGAAACGGAGACATCGTCGGAGACGAAGGAGCTGGAGACATTTCCGTTTTCGGAGACGCCAAATAATGCTCAATCGGAGCCGGAGCAGGTGAAACTTCACCGGATACGATTCCTACCATTAACAAAGCCAAAATGATGTAACCGAGCTTCATAATCATCTCAAAGATTCAACCTTTCTCTCTCACTATGTTTCTTCTCTTTTAAAGAAGAAGAGCTATATATGGAGAATTATATAGACAGTGGTGTATAGAAACAAGAGAGTCATTACTCATTTCACTCATTTTCCACTTAAAGTTCATGTGAGTGATCCAAGAACTGCTTTGGCACCAAACGGTCAACGCTTAGGAGATTTTAATTTTATTTTTTAATATTGGTTTTTTTTTTCTGCTAATCACATATTTTCCGCTTCAAGTTTGTATGAATGTTTACAAGAATACCAGCATCGCAAGGCAAGAAACCACTTTATAAAATGTTTACGTAACGAAGCAAAGTTAATACTTTTTCTTTTAATGGTTGAATTAACCAAGTTTATAAGTTTGAGTTTGACAACTCCACGAAAGAAGAAATGTACTTATTAGTGATCATAATTTAAAAAAAATCTGAATGTGGATAAATATATTGAAATTTGAATCAATGCGTCGCCGGATGATAATCGGCGGTGTGGTGGTGATTTCTCCGACCAACAAAATTCTAATTTTTATTGGGTTGGGCCTGTTTATACTAATGGGCCTGTTGCTACATTCTCAACGTGGGAAGTGTTTTTCTGCTTCTTCCCTCGCTCGCTTCACCACAAAAAAAAAACAATTTACCGGCGATCGGAGAAACCCAACGATGAGCAACACGGCAGGGAAGCTCGTGACTTCGAAATCCGAGCTTGACTTGGATCATCCTTACATCGAAGACTACCTTCCTTCTGGTTCCACCATCGATGAACCTCGCGGCAAGCTCAGCCTGTAATTCTTCTCTATTCATCCATTTGACAATTTCTATGAAAGTTTGAATTTGATTGGATCGGGTGATTAAGCATCAGCGTTTTTCCTAATTTCAGGCGTGATTTGCTCGATATCTCCCCTACGCTCACTGAAGCTGGTGGTGCCATTGTTGATGTAAGATATTTTCGACTTTCCCACCCAAATCTGTCGCACGATTACTCTGTCAAAGACTCTCAAATTTATGAGCGAAATGATGAATTTTTTTTTATCTTTGTAACTGTATATGATGCTTGATTTGATATCTCCAGCTGTTATCGATTTCTGTCCATTTTTGTTTTGAGAAAGTCGCTTTTTTTGAATGATTTTGCAGGACTCATTCACAAGATGTTTCAAATCGAATCCTCCAGAACCTTGGAACTGGAACATTTACTTATTTCCACTATGGTGCTTTGGCGTTGTCGTTAGATACTGCATTCTCTTTCCTTTGAGGTCTGTTCCTCTTATCTATTCATTTTTTATGGCTCTTATGCTATCTAGCTGGATTCTATTAGCAGTATGTGTTTACCTTGTTCATAGCTCAAAGTTAAGATTTTTGCAGCCGTGTGTGTGTTTGGACTTAGCAGTTTCAATGTTTTAAACCTGCAGGTGCTTCACTTTAGCTTTTGGGTGGTTTATTTTCCTTTCAACATTTATCCCCCTACATTCGCTGCTGAAAGGTCATGATAGGTTGAGCAAAAAGATAGAGGTAGGTTGTATATCCGAGAAGATCCTCTGCTTTGTTTGACAGTTTCCTTCCTTGTGATAAGTGATATATCTGAGATCGATGTTGAATTTTGTTCCATCTTTTACTGTTTTTTACCAGAGGCTCTTGGTGGAGATGATATGCAGCTTTTTTGTCGCCTCGTGGACAGGAGTTGTCAAATATCACGGGCCAAGGCCTAGCATCCGTCCTAAGCAGGTCATGGTTCTTTTATATATACACAAAAATTGGTTTCAACTTTGTATCTTCTTACCACTTTCATGTCTAAGCTTGTTTTATGATTGGGGTTAAAACAGGTCTATGTTGCCAACCATACTTCAATGATTGATTTCATCGTCTTGGAGCAGATGACCCCATTTGCTGTTATAATGCAGAAACATCCTGGTTGGGTTGGTAAGTCGCAGAAGTGTGCTTTTGACCTTTATGATTTGCTTAGTTTTTAATAGGTTTGTGATTGGTATGCGTATTGTGCATTACTGTGAAAGCCATGATTGACCTTTGTTGCTTTTGGATATGAAGGGCTTCTGCAAAGCACAATATTAGAGACGGTAGGATGCATCTGGTTCAATCGTTCCGAGGCAAAGGATCGTGAAATTGTAGCGAGAAAGTACGCATGGTTCTTATCCTTTTTAAGTGTCATTACGTACATAATCTACTCATTTTAGTAATTGGAACATATGAATATGTTCAGGTTAAGGGACCATGTCCAAGGAACTGACAATAATCCTCTCCTCATATTTCCTGAAGGGACATGTGTAAATAATAATTATACAGTGATGTTTAAGAAGGTATTTTCTGGACCTAACCTTGATGTGATTTGGCCTCTTGCTCTATTGTAGTCTCTGATTTTTTGCTTTATGATAATGTTCAGGGTGCTTTTGAATTGGACTGCACTGTTTGTCCAATTGCAATCAAATACAACAAGATTTTCGTTGACGCCTTCTGGAACAGCAGAAAGTAAGAATAAATAAGCATTCTCTAACTGATTTATAAGACTATTGGCATACTTTTATATCGCATACCTTTATATTTAGGGCCAATTTTTTGTCTTGGTTACCGAAAGGTCTTGCATGGTGTTTGCAGACAATCATTCACTATGCACTTGTTGCAGCTCATGACATCATGGGCTGTTGTGTGTGAAGTGTGGTACTTGGAACCACAAACTATCAGGCCTGGTGAAACAGCGATTGAGTTTGCAGAGAGGTATAAAACTCTTTTCTTGAGCCTTCATGAGAGAAGACATATACTAAAGACGTTTTATAAAACATAGAAATGTTGGTCCGCTAACATTTATGAGATCCATTACTTGTCACAGGGTGAGAGACATGATATCTCTTCGGGCAGGTCTCAAAAAGGTCCCTTGGGATGGATACTTGAAGTATTCAAGACCAAGCTCCAAGCATAGTGAACGCAAGTATGTTTAACATGCCTTTATTTCTAGTAATTCTGCTGTAGGAACTTTCTTCAATTTAAGGGCACTTCACATTCGTACATGTTGGAATACCCGACAAGACTCTAATGCTGATGTGTCTTTCTTTGAATTCACAGGCAACAGAGTTTCGCGGAGTCGATCTTGGCTAGATTGGAAGCGAAGTGAATGTAAAGATCATACACCATGTTTCAATGTTTGTTTGTTTTTCTCATTTTGTTCTTCAATACCATGAGATAAAACAAACGCAGGCCTCATGTGCTTTTAGTTCTCTACTTGTGCAAGTTTTTGTTGTTTGAGTTTGGAAAGACTAAGAACTGAAACGTGTTCTGCACCTAATCAGTTGGTTTTAAGTGTGCCTTGATCCACACAGTGCATCATCTTCTCTGGATTCATTGATGCAATTGTAGGTGTGATGATTTTGAATAAACAGATTTTTATTGATTTCTTTGTGTTACTTTATTTCAGTGTGACAGTTCTACAAGTTGGTCTTTGAAACCAAATTAAAAGAGTGGAAATTGTCTTTCTTATATAACTAAAATAACTTATCTCGAACTTTCTCTAGTCTCAACCTCGTGATGAAACAATTGTCATCGTACAATATAACTTACGGACACCTTTTTCTTAGCTTTCGGATCACAATTCGTCCTTGGAATCGCTACTCTTTGTCGTGGTATCAGGTTTTGCTTTGGTCTCAGTAGTTTCCACTTTTGGCGTGGACTCTGCAGTTTTGGGAGATTCGGTTGATGCAGGTTTCTCCAGTTTGAACGGGATCGTTGCGTGTTTCCTCAAAAACTTGTAAAATGCAACCACCGTGCGGTCTGCATCTACAGGTATCTGCTCCACACAACAAAGAAAGACGGTTTCTCTGTTTTAGAGGGAACTTAAGAAGACAAAAAACCTTTGAAGCTAGGAATCAGAACTTACCGGCTCTGAGCTCTTCTTTCCTGAAGGGAAGAAGAGAATTGTAGGGAAACCCTCGGCCTGCAACACCATAACCAGAAAATCAAAACTCTTAAGGCTTTGAACATAAAAGGTTCTCAGTGTCTAAAGATGTATCTTTGATACGTTTACTACCTTTGCCCTGGGATGTTCGTTGGCTGATCCATCCATCTTGGCTATGACGAGTGAATCAATGCTTTGTAAATGTTTGGCAAGCTTGTTGTACATTGGCTCAAGGGCTTGGCAATGTCCACACCATGGTGCATAGACCTGAGTTTTTGTTTTAAGAACAAAATATTGATGCGATGAGAAGACGTGAATGTGATTCCATACCAGTTTATTGACGGACTATGATAAAACAGTACCTCGAGAAGCACATCTTTGGACTCGTCCAGAACAATTTCATCAAAGTTATCTCCAACCACTATTTTCACATCTCCATCGTTCTGTAGCCACCAAAATTAAGTCTCGTGTTACATATGAGCCAACAAGACGGTTATGAATGAATGATAGAAAAGAAAGAGCTTTTTTACCTTTTCAGGGATGGGCTCTGACTTATAGAAAGGCTTTAGCTTGTCGTTCAGGAAGTCCTCCCCGAATGTCTACAAGAGATTAGAGATTTTTTAAGTTTAACCAACAATCTTTACGTGAAAGTTAAAAAAATTACCAGTGAAGAAAAATCAAAGAGGTACCTTAATATTATCTGACTTGATTTCGCCATCAAAAAAGTATTTCTTAGGATCTTCATTTCCTGTGTAGCCAAGAAGCTAAACACGAGACCAACAAATGAGATGTATTCAGCATGTGCTTACCAAAAAAAGATCTAGGACTCTAGAATCTTATAAATGTGCAACTCTTTGAATCCTATAACAAAAAAAGCGACTTACTTTAGGACCATTTCCAGACACGCCAAAGTATTCAGCGACTGGCTTCCCATAATCCTCATTATCCAGATCCACAGATACAAAGATGAGCTGTAGCAAGGAACAAAGGCTTCTTAGAAGTAACCTTACCAAGATAATATATATAGCCATCGTTGCCCCCAAAGATGCGAGACAAAGCAGATCAAATATATCAAATAAAATCAGAGAGGATCTATGTTCCTACCTTTCCTTTAAATGATTTAGCTGCTTCTTGAAATTCCGGAAGAGCCGTTTCCGAGTCATTTTTGGTTACGAACAACAACAACTGCAAAGAGAAGACATGGTTTCTCGTTAGCAAACCGACCTACACAATCTTCAAATCCCACTAAAAACATTGACAAACCTGCTTCTTGATTGCACTCTCGAAAATCTCAGGGGCAGTCTCTCTGGTGAAAACAGAGACCAAAGGAAGCTTGTTGGCAGCCACAAAACCAACTAGAGCAGACTTCACAAACTCCCCATCTGCACCCAAAAACACAATAAGCAAAGCACAAGAACAATTACCACTAAACCAAGTCAAAATAAATATTCTCAGAACCAACCAAAATGGCTAATCTTCTCCTCTTCCCTCTTAACTAGAACCACCGCAGGCCGTTTAGACTCCGGATCGATGTGAAACATCTTGGCAACATCAGGATTCACTGTTTGATAGAAGTTCACATCGTCTTCAGCTTTGGATGCAGCAGCAAGCTGATCATGCTCAGCTCCCTGTATTGGATAATCCAAATTGTGTTACTTTGAGAACATACAACAACATTTCAAATACTTAAAGCCAAGCAGATAGAGAAACCATACCACCAAAGAGCTCAAGTAACCCAAGACGACTTTGTTCCCAGAAGTCAACACTTTCTCGGCATCATCCAATGTGGTTAGATTATACACACCAGGACCTATCTTCTTCTTCACCCATGTCACAATCGTCTCTCTAAATCACCAAAATCGGAAAAAAATCCTCCAATCAGATCCGGTGATGCAACAGCAATACAATTCACACGAGAATTGAAATTGATTCACTTACTTGGTCCTCCCTCCAGTGTAAGGCTTGTGCTCGCCGTCAACGAAGAAGAGAATAGTCGGGAATCCCTGAACGCTGTACTGATGAGACAGCTCGTTCTCCTCCGTCGCGTCGATTTTAGCCAAAACGACACCGTGGCTCTTCAGCTCCGTCGCGGCTGCGGCGTACTCGGGAGCAAGTGACTGGCAATGGCCGCACCACGGGGCGTAGAACTCTACCATGACGTATTGGTTGTTCTCGATCACGTCGGTGAAGTTCCGCTCCTTGACGACCACCACGTCTTTCCCGTCGACTTCCGGCGCCGGGAACGGATCCGAGTCTGGACCGCCTAGATCGGAGAGATCCTCGCCTTCTTCGTCGTCGTACATGTCGGGATCTTCGTATTCTCCTTCTCCTTCTTCGAACTCGTCGAGTCCAGTGGCGGTAAGTGACTCAGCGGGAGTGTCGTCTCCTGAGAGTTCTTCGAGGAAGCTGAGATCCTCATCGTCGACGTCGGAGGAGGAGGAGGCGGCGGCGAAAGTGGGAGAAACGGCGGAGAAGACGAGAAGTGCTGTGAGAGAAAGGAGGAGAAAAACGCGGAACGCCATTTTCGTGCGACTGTGAGAATTTTGCAAACTCTTTTGAGATCTATAACCAACTTCACAAAGTACAAATAAACTGGTTTCTTCTTTTAACACATGTTTGTAGTTTATCCTAAACGTCGTCGTTTTTATGTTATTCTGTAAAATTAAATTATTAGAGAATATAATAATTTATAATATTTCATTGGCAAAAATTTGACGAAGTTGGAAATAAATAAAGTCGTAATCGAACCAAATCGAAATGTTTAATCCTTAAAATAGATAAACTAAATATTTTGTTATATAGTGCGTTTCGAGTGTTCTTAACGCAAACTTGCTAACGTTCTAAATTCAAACTCAATAACTTTACAGAATCAAATCAGTAGCAATTGACATGATCTTGGAAAGATCAAACAACAAAACAAGAAACTAAAAGCTACGTACGTAGCTAGCTTGTTTGCTGATTCAAGGATCAGACTTGATCACAATCGTGCGGGTTATATTAGCATGTCGTTTCTTGATCACAAAGAAAATTCCCATTAACAGAAATGATGTGAAAGAAACGCCTAACACTATTCCTACGGTTTCTCCTCGTCCATCTTCTCTTCTACTCTCGCTTGTGTGTTCGTCTGATGAGACTTTGCTTCCTTGTGTATCTGTTTCTACGATAGATGTCTTTGAAGGTGATGGTGAAGGGGAAGGTGAAGAAGGTGGGTTTCTTGGTGGATTATTGTCAGGGAGTGATGATTTTGGGTGAAAGAAATCGTAAGCTTCTGGAGAGAAAGCAGATGGATTCGAATAAGCTGGACCATGAACAGGTCTACTTCCTGCAATGGATACACATAGAAGCAAAGACAAGCAAGAGAAGAAGAAGAGCAAAGAGTGAGTTAGGTAAGTCATGCTGTTGTTTTTCTCTCTAAAACCTTCGTTAGTGTTTGATTTTGTTTTAGTTTGTGTGTGTGTGTGTGTTTTTGAGTTTTATAGGATTGGTTATAGGTTATGCAGGAGATAGTTGTTGCTTGAAGTGCAAATTTGTATGATTGTCTAATAGCAAAAGGAAAAAAACAAACAAATTAAAGGGTTCTTTTTAATGAATGAAAAAGAGAAGTCATGCAGTTTTTGTTTGTTTCAATCTTTTGTGTATAATTGTCCTCTTATACAAGTGTTGATGAATGAACAGTACTTAAACTTTCACAATACAAAACTAGTTTATTGGTTTTACCCTTTACATTTACATTGCTTTCACTTTGTTTTGTGGAACAAAAACAAACAAACAAATGATTTTAGATTAAGGTCATAGGATTTGTTCTTCTTCATTTTCATTTTGTTGGGTAAGACTTAGACTAGTGACAAAGAATGCATGAAGAGTTTGTTAGCTTGAAGGAACCGCAATGGAAACTAAAATAACTAAAAGGTGATTATTAATCGGGTCCACACTTTAAGGTTTGCATAGTTTTCATTTTCGATTCTCTTTTTATTTTGTCATCTCGAAATATTTGGTTAGACAATTAATCCCAAACCGAACTAGATCAAACTAAAAAAATAACATAAACCCCAATGCCCCCACCTCGTATGTAATGTAAGCACTTGTTTCAGTTAGTTTGATTTATGACTCGGCTTTGATTCGGTTTGAGTTGTTTCAGATTACTAAAGATTCCAATCAAACCCAATTAACTTTTAATCCAGTTCATTTTTATGTGTGAGAAGTCTTTGGTTTTCTGGTTTTTGACAGTTCTATTGTAGAACATAATTAATTAACATTAATATGGTGCTGGAAAGGATTCAAAAGTAATAAACTTGTCAAAAGAAAGTATTGAAATAGAGATAAAGTGAGTTCTTCGTGTGTCTCGTATATTGTAAAACATACTACATGACATCTGTTGTCTGTGTTGATTCTCAATAGAAATAGACTAAAAGCAAAACTAACGTTAACTCTAAGAAAAGATAAAAGCGAAAGCGAGTCTTATCTTAAAGCAACATTAATTTAAACCACATTTATACGAATGGGAAATTCCATGACATTTAAAAAAAAAAAAAAAAAAAACAGAACATATAAATAAATTACTAAAAAAGATACAGGTAACTTCCGCTTGATACATAGTGGTAGTGAAATTTGTGGTAATCATCATTCTTGATTAAAGATTGACTTTGTTGCTTAATTTAAAACAATTACAATTAAGTAACGCTCCTAAAGGAGCCAAGAGATTTAATCGCAGCCGCTCTTAGAACATGCTGATGGTATAACGCAGCCGCTGCTGCTCCGATCATCGGTCCCACCCAAAAGATCCACTGTTCAAATTATCAAATTAAACATCATGCCGTTCATACAAGTATATTTTAACCAATACTAGTAAAAAACTAAAAATGTGGCCGTATAAAAGTTAGTGACGTACTTGGTCGTCCCAGGCCTTCTCTTGGTTGTAGATAACGGCGGCTCCGAAACTACGGGCCGGGTTGATTCCGGTTCCGGTGATGGGAATGGTAGCTAAGTGAACCATGAAGACGGCAAAACCAATGGGAAGTGGCGCCAAAACTGGAATGTGAGAGTCACGTGCACTTCGCTTGGGATCGGTGGCCGAGAAGACCGTGTAGACGAGGACAAAAGTTCCGATGATCTCAGCACCGAGTCCGGTACCTTTGTTGTAGCCTTCGGCGAGCTCGTTGGCTCCACCTCCATATCTAATATTATTAGCAATTTTTGTAATTAATAAAGCAGCATAACCATATTAATGTTTAATCTGTCATCTAAGCATCCGTCTAGAGAGAGTAGAGAAAATAATAGTTGACCGTTAACAAGAGTTTGGAATGAGTTTTGAGATTTAGACATACATAATCGTTTTAGACACACACACAGATGAGTTTTGAGACATTAGTGGAACCTGGTGTAGTAAGAACTTTGGAATGCTTTGACAAGACCGCAACCGCAGATGGCACCGAGGCACTGAGCCACAATGTACAACACTGTCCGCAACAAAGACACTTTCCGAGCAATGAACAGCCCCACCGTCACTGCCGGATTTATGTGACCACCTTTTTTTGTTTACACGTAGACAACAACAACAACAAAAACTTAATTAATTTTCTGGACCAATCAATTAAAATTTAAGCCAAATTGATCCAAACCGACCTAAACATGTGATATAAAAACCGAATTAAGCTATGGTTATAGTAAACCGAACTTGAGTGTTAGGTGAAAAAATATATGTAACGTGACTCGAAAGTTAGTTAGACAAAAGAAACTTACCGGAGATACCGGCGGTGCAGTAGACGAGGACAAAGATCATTCCACCGAAAGCCCACGCAATTCCCAATATTCCTACGCCACCGCAATCAACTCCTCCGGCGTCTGTATCTGTCTGAGCTTTGTAGCCGATCACGGTGAGGATTGAGATGTAGAGAAACAAAAGTGTGGCCACGAACTCAGCTATGACTGCTCTAAAGAGCGACCAACTCCGAAGCTCCTCCATGTCGAACAATGGCGCCGGAGGCGGATCCTGGTAGTCTCTCGGTGCCGTTGCTCCGGCCTCTTGCACCTCTAACTCCTTTGCCATGGCCAAAGATGATGATGAGAGAGAGAGAGAGATGTGTTTTTATGTTTGTTCAGATTTGTAGCTCTTAAATTGGTTTAATTGTGTGTGTATATATACACAGACACTGTGCAAAGGTTTGGTATAAGTACATTATAAGACAGATAATTTTATATGGTTATTAATTACTAGATTAAGGCCCGCGTATACGCGGGTATATTTTAAGATTTTATAATAAAAGCATGGAAAATATTAAACAAAATTTGATCATTTTTAAACATAAACAAAATAATATTGAAAACCCGATAAAAAATATTTAAATAAAATAAGATTGGTAATACTTTTACATTTTTATTGTAATTAATTTTTTTTTACTATTATTTTTATCCAATACAGAAAGACTTACACATGTCTAAATCTGATCAACTGATTAATTAATCAAACTTTTATTATTCCATTCAAGAGATTTTAATTGATGAAATCTTTATTTCAATTTTTTTACCTAACAAAAATTGAAAATCAAACTATTTAAAATTAGAATATCAATTATAATTTTTTAATATTAGTTAATTGCTTGATAATTATTTTGTTAGTTTTTATTTATATTTTTCTTTCTCAATTTTTTTTTGCCTCGACCATTATAAATACTATATATTGGTATTTTTCCTTTTCGAAATGGATTTTTTTTCCTTTTCTTAATAGATGTAACAAAAGAATTTAAATTATTTGTTTCCTGTTTTTTTTTACTTTTAATGGATATTATTTTTTTCATTTTAATTATTTGTTATCTGTTTTTCTAATTTTTAGTTAGTCTTATACATATTAATTTTTTTTTTATTCCATGACACATGTTACGATCTTCATACTTCAGAATTTTTTTTTTCTAAAACACATGTCGCAATTTTGTCAGTTATAAAAATCCTATGTATCGCAAAACTTTCAAAAACATGATTTTTAAATTGGAGAAATATAATCAAAGGGATTTGATGAATTTGTTTTGATGAATTTATGATTGAGAAATCTTGACTCTCTTTTATAGGGGTTCAAGTAACCTATTACATGCAGTTATAGGAAATTTAGTTTACATAACATATTCCATGTACAAATAGGATTTTATTTATTACATTATTTTGATTTTATTATTTGTTTGGATAATATTAATTTGATGAATGGGAAACCTTTCTCTATTAGGATATGACAAATATATTTTTATTTCTTTTAACTGTAATGGATTAATTTTTTAAAAACAATTTCCTTTATCTAAATTTTTATTATTATTTTTTTTTTTTTTTCTCTAAGACATGTGTCACGATCTTAACGGACGTAACATTAAAAGTGACACATGTCGCGATCTTATAAATTATAAAAATCTATGTGTCGCAACCACGTCGTGCGCATCCAACTTTATATAATAAAAAATTGATGAATGGGAAACCTTTTTCTGTTTGGATATAACAAATATTATTTTTTCCTTTTTGATATAATATATTAAATTAAATTTCGTTTTTTTAATTAACATTTTTCTGGAATTTTTTTTTTAAGTTCTTTTTTTTCCTAAGACACATGTCACGATCTTAACGGACATAAACTTAAAAGTGACACATGTCGCGATCCTGAATTTTATAAAAATCCTACGTGTCGCAACCACGTCGTGCGCATCCAGCTTTATATAATAAGATATTGACAGTTAATTTGAAATGATTTTAGGAATCTTATCTAATTTGTATTCCTCAAATGAGCTGGTGGACTATGAGAAACATGTCAATTTTGCTATTCCTTCTGTCAATATTATGAAGACAAAACAGGAAACCTACTTATGACTCAATGGATCATTCAAAATATGTTTTTGCCTAGTTAAGGTTTTTTGAGAATTGAAATATTGAATGATTCACTGAGTTATAACTCATCAAGAAACATTTTTTTTTTAGTTTATATAGGGATGAAAATCTAAACACTACATTACTAATTTTGTTTAGAGTTTACAATGATCCTTGTGATGTAGTGTTTTCGGAGGATTATCCTAAACACAAAACGAAATGTTTCTTGTACAAACATCAGATATATAAGAATATCCACGGGTAAATCTAGCAATCTTTGTTTCTTGGTTAATTGTCTCTCTTTTTTTTCTTCCTCACATGTAAATACACCCACTTTATCTAACTAACCTTTTGTCATCATCACATTCTTTCTATTTTTCGACCACTCGCAAAATAACCCATAAATAGTAAGCTATACAATTTGTACAATTTATTTTTGCCTTTTGTTTTTCCCTCGACTTCTAATTTCATTTCTATTATAGTCTATAGAGTAATGGAAACAAAGTCCTCAGTAATAAATTGCACGTAAAGCAAAATAGTTCGATTGTATGGCCAATCCTCTGTCTACAGAGCCTCCACTAACCTATGTCGAGTAAGATGTTCTTCCATACAACATTTTGTATATTACATTTTCCAAATAACATAATCAAGGGTCAGAGCTGTCTTTTAAATTTGTATGATTGATGTAAGATAAACTTGTTTTAAGCTGTCTTAAATTTGTATGATTAGCGTAAGATAAACTTGTTTTAAGCCGTCCAACCAACCCCTCGATTTAGACATTCATGTCTTTCTATTATTGATTTTCATTGGAGCTTTAGTTTAGTACAGTATTTTCCAATTGCTGTTGCAACGTCAACTTTCATCTCCTTATTATTTTTCTTTATCTAGGTTTCAATTTCAATTTTTGGATTTAACTTTCCGTTATAACTAGTCCAACCTGTTAGACTGAATGAAAACTACCTAGAAATGTTTTAGTTACGGCTTAACAAGATGATACTACATAATCTGGCTAAACCATCCATACCCTATTTTTAATTATACTTTTGAACCACCAATATATGCGGTAAAATAAGAGACATTTTAATATAAACAAAATTTTTTATTAATCAATTGCGTAGCCCAACTAAGATGACTACAGTAGAACCTCTATAAATTAAGTAATACTCGGTAAAGTAATACCTCGATAAATGAATAGAATTTTCAAGTCCCGAATTTAGTTTTTGGTGCAACTATCCCTCGATAAATTAATAATCTCGCTAAAGTAATAAAATATTATGATCCAACGTTATTACTTTATAGAGGTTTTACTGTATATGGATATAATCTCAAACATATTTTTAAGAAAACTATTGATCTATTAACGTGTTTTAATCTTGCATATATAAATTAATTTAGAACAAGTCCATATCAGCATCGTCACGATTCCCTTTAAAAAATGAAGTTATATTAATCATTTATATAAACATAAACGGGTTAGAACTATCAATTATTTTAATATATAATTTATCACATACATAATATAAAGTTTCACAAGAAAAAACATATGGAGAAGTAGGATTTTTGTAAAGGTTGTGTAACTAATTAGCATATGAAGAAAGAAGATCTTTCTGAAATTAAATGTTTTGTTCATTGAACAAGAAAAGGCTCATCATCCCACCCACCTTAAAAAAGCTCTATAAAAGTTTCATGTAATCTTTTTTATAAAATAATCAATTGGTATCATGAAAATGGTATTTGTTTAAATTCCCGCACAAATAAATCTCAAAATAACCAAAGTCGGATTTGAAAATTAAGGAAAACGAAGATAAGGAGAAGATGATAAGAACGAGATCCATGACATTGACACGCAAAATCCGAAACAACCAACGTTGAAGCTGTTATTATATGTTATCTTTGCCAGGCGAATTCTTCTGTTCACGTAACATTATGCCCCCATTGCTCCTAATCATTCCAATTATTCAATTAATGTTTGACTTACATGCTTGATCCATGCATATATATTTTATTTGTAAATACACATAAATACATATAGTAGGCGTAAGACCACAAATAAAAATATACATTCATGGAAATGATGCATGTGACCATGCTTATGCATTTTGCCTTCTAGTTCGATAACTAAATTTCAGGTTTACCAACAAAAGCTTTAATATCTGTCTTTTACTCTTTTATCAAAAGAAAAAAAAAAACAAAAGATTTAATTTCTGCCTCTTAACTTCGTTAAAAATGTTATCGGTAACGGGTTATAATTTGTTGATTAAAAGAAAGAGAGAGCACATTCGTTGAGTTGTGTGGCCAATGTATCTGATGCAAACCGTGCAAATGTGCAATGACTAACCGGTTTTGGACAATCATATAAAGCGATTACCTTGTGCTTCAAATCCAAACATTATATTAAAATTACTATTCTTTTGCAACAAAGTGTTGTACTTTAAGTAGAAACGAAGTATATATGAGTTGCTCGAAATGTAACATGTAGAATTGGTTATCGTTCGTAAGCAATTTATATCAAAAACCACCAATTCATTTGAAGTATATATGCCTGCTTGAAATTTGATAGTGAAATCTTCAGTAATTAAACCACCATTTGAAGTTCGGCTGAACACAACGCATTGACATTATACTGGTACCGAGACCTTAACAAAATGCAACTAAGCTTAACCAAAACCTCGTTTCCGTTCAAATCTATGGACATTTTACCATTCGCTAACGTAACTTCGCATCAAACACCAAAGTCCCCTTCTCTATCAATCAAGCCACAAAGACCAAGCTTATAACTAAACCAGTTATCAATCAAACCACAAGACCAAGCTTAGTACTAACGCAGTAGACGAAGAACAGTTTAACTACAGCTAGCACGACCAGAGATGGTAACAAAACCCAGAGAACAATGCTAAAACGCCAAACCAATCTATCACATTTCCAATCTAAACTTAGATTTCAGAATCACTTGTGTTAGTGTTACCATCAACTTAACAAATCTATGCTACAAGTCTATGTCATTCAAGAGCATTGTAACATTCATCTATCAACCACATGTTCTATAGAAATGACATTCAATCTTTTACCATCTCCAATCGTTAGACAATCAAAACCAGTTTGATAGATTATAGAAATGAAACATTCTAATTCATCCCAAGAAAGGATTCAAAATGTGCATATCCATATAAAAAAAACTGTCTCCGAATCTCAATACTGAAATTTTTAGTATACTAAAAACCAAATCCTCGAAATCAAATACAAAGCCAAAACAGATAGCGAAAATTCAAAGAAACCTTCACTCGTTAGAAACCTCAATGTCTCCATTAACGATTTCCTCCTGAAGATCCTTCGGGTCTCTTCCGTCGACCGTGCAACCAACGGAGACGCAAGTGCCCAAAATCTCCCTCACTGTTCCGCTCAATTCCTTGGCAATCGATCTGGGACGCATGATTTTGGAGATCTCGATCACGTCGTCAAACGAAATGTTCCCGTTGTGCTTGATGTTCTTCACCTTCTTCCGATCACGCTCCGGCTCCTTGAGCGCCTTGATGACCAGAGCAGCTGCGGAAGGGACGACGGTGACCTTAGCCTGACGATTTTGGACGGTCAGCTTCACGGTGACTCGGAGGCCTTTCCATTCCTTGGCCGTCTCTTTGGCGATGTCTTCTCCGATCTTCTTCGGCGCGAGACCAAGTGGACCGATTTTGGGGGCGAGCGAACTCGCTGCTCCGACCTCACCTCCGGTCACGCGGACGTAGACGTCGACGATTTGAGATGGGTCCAATTTCGGCGGCATTTTCTCTCCTAATCTTTTCTCACACTCACTCAGCTGCTAGGTTTTCGTCTTCTAAGCTTATAAAGCGTTTTGAGGCTGCTAGGGTTTTTAATTGAGATGACTGGTTTAATCCACTTAATTCGGGTTTGATTTCCCTGAACCGAAATCGAAAGCAGAGTGTTATTTGGTTAAGTCAAAATCAAAACCTTACAAAAATATAATTATTTTATTTTATTTTTAGTGCTACTTCGAAATGAATTTCATGTTTTAGTTACTACAGTAGTTTTTGTTTCCTGCCACAAAGTGAACTATAAAACGCATGTGGTTCGGTTCGAATACTCTGTTTCGATGCGGTTCAATGATGGGGAAGTTTTTTGAGATGTTCAGAAGGGTAATTTGGGAAAAGTAAGTAGTTCAGTGTGTGTTTGTTACAAAAAGTCAAAAACATGGCCCTGTGATAAAAACACAAAAATGTACGGCCCTATAAGATTTTCAAGAGTTGGGTCTCGGATCTTCTTCTCCAAAAAAGCAACTCTTATTTTGCCGATAAATAAATATTTGGCTCTAATGTCGAAATTTTGGATTAATCATAATCAATATTTTAGACACTTTGAATAACGTATAGAGTATAAACTAGTAATGAGAGTCTGAGACTTTATATAATTTAAAGAACCTAAATTCTAGTGCAGAAGAGAAAAAACAGAGAATAGAGCGTACGTGTAAAATTTTTGTCATTTTAACATCACATGAAAACATAATTTTCTAATGATACAGCAAGACCATTCTGACATGATCTAGTTGATGTTCATGTTACCACGTGATTATAACATCAGTTACATGCAGGTACTTTTGATCTAAAACATGTAAGACAAAACGTTAAAATAAGTTTAACACGCCTTTGGTTATAACTTATAACTCCACTAAAGACTTAACACTAAAGTCTAAAGGTCAAGAGTTCGGTTAACATATGAATCAAAATAATTTGTACAATAACTAAAAGATGGAGTGAGCTTTTGTGTAGAGTTAGTAATCAATCTCAGTCCTAAGAGAGTTCGAAAAAATAAGTGTATGGTTTAATTCGTTGACTAACCAATTATCTTATATATAATAGGAGAGTTGCTCTCTCCATCTAAAGTGTCCACATCAGCACAAAAATATTAAATTGTATTTAATTATTTATTAAATATATGACTATTCATATTTCTTTACATTTATTCATATTTAATAAAAATATACAAATAAATAAATTAATTAATAGAAAGTATGTGATAATTTGATGTTAAAAGTTATCAAAAAGTTGGAATATAAAATAGAGATGGAGTAAAGAAATATTTAACTTCAAATAGTATATATTTACCTTTTTATTCAAAGGATTTATCATAAAAATGTTATAATGTGTTTACAAGTTAAAAAGTTGAATATAAATTAATTAAGATAATAGAAAGCTAATGAAATATTAGAGTTAGAGTTTGTTTTTCTAAACAAATAGAAATGGAGTTTTATATGTAAATTTAATTGTAGTGAAAAACAAGAATATGTTTACAAATTTTAACCTTCAGTCAAATGCATATACATATTTATAAATTTTAACCTTCAATCAAATACATATTTACAGTCTAATAGAAGTAAAAAAAAAGTAAACAAACATAATATTTATAACATGATAAATTTTAGAAATAGAAAACTCGAGATAAAGCGGGGTGTTAATATCCTAATAAAATAAAAAAAAACAAATTATTCATATTTTTTAGTGTTAGTGGTTGAGTTAACTCAAAACATAACAAAAACATGAAAGTTAATACAAAACCATCATAATTCAAATCAACGAGTATAAATAAAATTAAACAGAAAAACTATCGCAAACAACCCCCGCGCTTGATTGATGACTCGCCAATGTTGATTGAGGTTAGAGTTCCATCTAACGAGTTTTTTTTTTTATGTTGGGTAATGTAAATAATAAAGAAAAATAACTAAATGGTCAATTACTAGTTGCGTTTGTAATTACATCATGTACTCTAAGATTGGGATTGATTGCGTATAAAATAGTTATTGTGAATTTTTCACATGATGGATGAAGACTTTGGGAAAAATATGAATGTTTTTTGGCGTTTACGTTTGTAGTTCCATGTTTTACCATAGAAATACAAACGGACACAGAGAAATGGAAACAAACAAACAATCGAATCGCAGGGACCCATATATACACTGAGCTCATAGAAGTTAAAAGACAATCAACGACACAGCCCTAGTGATCTCGAAACACGTGGCAAAAGCTTCACGTTTCTGTCTCTAGATCACACAAACGAGAAACAAAATGATAGAATCTCTCTTTCTCTCCACGAGAGTTCTAAGAAATGACGACAAAGAGAAATGAGATTAGGTGGCGATCGACTTGGAGAAACACGTGTAGGGTATATTTAAATTGGTAATTTCTGCTATAGAGTTGTGGTAGCATCTACTCCCATTAATAACATCAATGTGTTCCTGTGATCAACTCTAGACGTAAGCTTGTGAACCTCTATGTAAAACTTCATTCAATAGAACATATTAACTTCACCCTCTATTTTCTTCCTCGTCTACCTAAGAAAACTAGCCAAACTTCGTATGTATGTAATTTGGTCAATAATGGCATGTCCCGAATTTTGTGCAAGTGATTGGACTGAATATACTTATCACCTTTGAGATAAGGAATATACTGTATGCTTCTGGATTAGTACTTTGCATAGTGACCAAAAAATTCAAAGAGGAATGGGTCTGTATATTCTGACATATATAAATCTATATGTATTGAGAGCTAAGAATTATGAACAAAGTTCAAATGATGTATTGAGAGCTAAGAGTTCTGAACAAAGTTCAAAGGATGTGAGACCCATACAAGAGATAAAGAATTTAAGCTATTGTATACACGATTTTTTTCTGATAAGGTTATTAAGTTTTGCTTGAGATACATGCATGCGTAATTCTCTATTCACTTCAAAGATATTGCATCGTAACATGTCAGAAGTTACATTATCAAATGGTAGGAAGTTTTTTATCAATGAACTAAAGACCCAAAAATAACATTTTTTCATGATGTTTTCCTTCTAGGAAAATAAAATAGTTTGTCAAAATTTGAATTGAACTCTTAGATTCACTTGCTTCCATTAAGATTTCTTAGAATTACAAATTCTGTTGAAACAATGGTGTACTTATATAGCATCGCTAGTTAAAATTATAACAAGTGTGTTACAAACTTCCTTTCATCACTTTGCAAATTGCAACAAATCCGTATATGACATCGATGACCTTTCACGGACCCGCTGCTGAGTTATATAAATTATAAGGTAACAAGAATCTAATCGATTAACCACTCTCTCTATGATCAAATACTATAAAATAGCTCAATGATTCACCACTAACTTAAAAAAATGTGTAAATCATAATGTCACTTTTCCCTGAGCCTTGTGACTGGCTCTATCTATTTAAAACGGTTTTATTGTGCTATGGTTTCGCATTAAGTTATTATTCATTTAATGTGCTATGGTTTCACCTCGTAACTTTCTGGAAAGGATAACATGATTGGACAAAGCATTTTTTTTTTTTCACAATAAAGGGACTTTATTATTTTCATCATCATCACCATTACAGCGCAGTGTTTTAACTTTTCCTCTTTCTAGTCATTATTATATTTTACGAGCTTATAATTAAATAATATCAGATGTGCCCACTATGTCGACACCTTAACAAAATTACAGATAATGCTTTTATCCAGAGTCCCAGACTCTCAAGTGAATAACATTTCCATTTGATTGAAATTGTCTCTAATCTGAACTACTGTTTTCAAATCCACTTTTAAGACAAACAAACCGTAGAAAACAGACTGAAAACAAAGCCATATTACTTTCCGACACCTTAAAATGGATTTTTGTATAACATTTAAACTTTAAGTTAGTTTTTGTTTAATTAGCATTTTTCAGTTTGGTTCTTACAATTTTTTATCAGTGAATTATTACATACATTACACATTAGAGTGAGGAAAGTGACACCTAGAGTAATATTGACCATATAGTTGTTTCCATTACATTAAAAAAAAAAAACTACGTCGACTCGATGTAACAAAAATCTATAAACTAAAGGGAAACTAAAATGCGTAGATGTGGATATACACAAAAACCTCATGAAGGAAAATAAAAAAGAAAGAAGTTTTATGAAAATAAAAAAAGTGAGACCTTCAAAAATTCAACGTTCAACGAATCTCATGTAGCTAAAAACAAACACCACTCGCAACATATATCGCACGCGCCGGTATCGAGAAAATATCGAGATATTATATTCATCGAGATGGTATGAGTCTGTCGCGCGTGGGAGAACATCGAGAAAGGATAGAGAGAAGAAAACGATAGGACTTAAAAACCTGAGATCCAGCTGGCAAGATATAAGCGCGTTAGATCCGAGTAGTAGTGGGTCCTACGTTCACGTGGCGTCCATCTAAGCTAAATGGTACCACGTGGGATGAGATCGGTATGATATGACACACGTGTCTGGATCGTAGAGAGACTTTGCTTTGTCTCTCTCTCGAACTGGAGGAGGGAGGAAGAGAACCAACCAACCCCACCCGAGTCACGACAAAAACTTGAACCAAGTTATGGTGGGTGGTTCATGAAAATTGAAAAATGATATTTTTAGAGAATTGAAGAGAATCTTCTATATATCCATTAAAATCTAAATAAGGATAGGGAAGAAAAGTCCTTCTTTTTTTTTGGTTGAAACTACCTAATATTCCCCTAGTTTTGATTTGTTGTGCCAGAAAAAACAAGATACTTGTACCAGCATGATCCGATATTTTTATGAGAACAGATATTTTAAATTTTATCTAAACAGATTTAGAAGAAAACTAAGGCATACCAGATTATTCGATAGAAAATACAAAATATCAAAAATAATATATCTATTGAAATTTGAAACACAACATTTCCTCGTGACAAGAACTGGAGTAGCGGGATTACTCTTACGTCATAACCAATAGTTCTAGTAGTTTATTTATAATTTTTTGCCACGATTACTAGTGGGATTTAGTTGCATAACACGCAGAAACAATGACTTAATGTTTTGATAGTGTGAACTGTAGACTCTAATGTTCGAATTAAACTTTATAAAATACGTAGAAACCTTAGCCAGAGTTTTTCTTTGTAGTCTGAGTTTTGACTCTGAAAGGACTATAGAGCGTGGTGACCATAATCCAAAACTAATTCTATAGTACTAGTTCACATTCAGTAGTTCGGAAAATGTTAAAGAGAACAGAAAAAAAAATACATAAAATAAGCAATACCACGAGTGGAAGCACGAGTGGTAAGCTTTGTGCAGAGTGTTTTCATTGGATAGAGAATAAGATAAATTTAATAATTAAAAATAATCGACTGTGGAGTGGAACGGCTAAATTTGTACAAGCGATGATGTAATCTTCGACGGTTCTGGTTCTCCGCGCCGTTCACACCGACCAACCTCGTAAGTTTCCAAACGGTCGAGGCTTATTTTCATAGTGTATTAGTATTATATTCCGCAATATTCTGCGTCCATGTTTTCTAAAATAAAAAGAGATTTATACGTGTAAGTTATACTCCTGTAATTATGTGAAGGGATGAAATTACCACTTTTTTTTTCATATAAATATATACCACCATTTTGGATTCGGATATACTTATAACCCAAAAGAATGTACTTGGATGGAAATATGACTTGATAATTCTTTCACACACACAAAAAGAAACATGTTTTCAGATTTGAAAATCAATTTAGACTACTTAAATTTATTGCAAAATCTGTAATCAAGTAACCAAATATAGCTAAAAGAAAATCAAATCCAAAGATGAATACGTCTTTATGGAACATTTTGTTTGGGAAAGAAAACTAAACTAAAGTGGTAAGAATATGCCAATACGCCACATGTAATATTCTCTTCACGAAAGGTAAACCTCGAAAAATCCTTCGCGTTTTCGTGGCATTTTTTCCCGATACTTCATTTAATTAATTTCACTAAAAGCCAGTAAAGGGTAATGACGTAAATTCCTACTCAGACGGAAACTGGAAGTTAAGAGCGAAGAAGAAGAGAGAGGGTCCCTTATCCATTTTATCCAACCCCAAACCTTATTATATAAGCAAAGACTCCCCTCAAGTCTAAATTCTTCTCACAGCAAAACAAATATTCAAAATCAAATAAACCAAATTCATTCTTAAAACTCTTCTCCTTCTTCTTCTTCAAATGGCGACGGGGAAAAGCTACTACGCTCGTCCTAGCTACCGTTTCCTCGGCACCGATCAGTCCTACTACTCCACCACCGATTCAGGACTCGAATTCGACGAATCCGATCTATACTCCTCCGCCGGTTCCATCCACTCAGATTCGCCTGATTTCCGCCGGAAAATCTCTGCGTCAGGCAGATCCGGGAAAAAACCGTCGAATCGGCCTTCTGCATGTGCCGCCGCGTCGTCCGGCGCAGTGGCGTCGTCGCTTCCGGTTAACGTCCCCGACTGGTCGAAGATTCTCCGTGGAGAGTACCGGGATAATCGCCGGAGAAGCATCGAGGATGACGACGGCGATTGCGAAGACGGTGGAGATTGGTTGGACGCGAGCGGTGTGAGATTGCCGCCGCACGAGTTTCTGGCGAAGACGAGAATGGCGTCGTTCTCGGTGCACGAAGGAGTTGGGAGGACATTGAAAGGAAGAGATCTGAGTAGGGTCAGAAATGCAATTTTTGAGAAAATTGGGTTCCAGGATTAAATATTTTGGGAAATTTCCTTGAGGTCCCCTTATTTTTGGTTTACTTCAATCATTTTCGGTTGTTTACAAGTAACTGTCAGAGAGAGAAAGAGAGAGAGCATATAATATTTCTAGAAATGCCCTCCATGTATCGTCAATTTCGGAAATCTTACCCATGTAATTTTTTAACTAAGCAATTTTATCACATTTTGCGTACGAGTATTGAGTAATAGATAATGTTTTGGAAAATATAATTTTCATCGTTCATTTTAATTTATTCAGCCAGTTCAATTTATGCAAACAAAACTGAAAAATCCAGATTTAATCAACACAAAAGTTAAATTAGGGGGTTGAAAATAGAAAAACAAGAAAAATGGGGCAAAAAGTTTCAATTATTGGTGGGATTTTGGGTGTTTGATGTGGTGGGTAAGAAAAGCAGGGGCTACGAATACATGAGAGATGAGAGTGACATAGTTGCGTGAGAATTATTCTTTTAATTCTTACAACTATATAATTTTGTTTCTAATGTACAAATTGATGGATTTCAACCCAATATCGTCTCCTCTTTAGGAGATACTATCAAAAGGATTATAAAACTGATATATGTTTCTTATCGAGAATATCATGGATTCTTTATTAAAATCAGCAAAAGTTTACGTGAATGGGTTATCGTGTTAGGGATTATATAAGGGACATGTAATTCATGTGATTCGAGGATTATGCTTTTCCCAATGTATAATATTGTCATTAGCCAAACACATTTCCTCAAAACAAAAATTAAATGAAAACTATATTTGGAATTTCTCTTCATGTTCTTTCTCTAACTAAATTCTATAAATTAAACAGTAAAACAAAGTTTGCAATTACATTGTACTTTCTACGAATATCTCATCTTATCCAAGTAAAACAACAATCTTAATTATCATGTCTAAGAATTAGAATTATAGATTATCGTTTTTATTTTCTGTTTTAACCTTAGTTGGGTCGTCGTTTTCTATTCAAACGTCATATGTGTTGCAATATGTATGAATCATCAAGACTTTAATTTCTCCTTGAAAAGGAAAATTAAGGAAGGCTCGTTAAAATTAAGCTAAGTGAAATTATAGGTCGTAGTTTATAAGGAAGGCTCATTTTGTATGGCTGAGCGTGAGATAGTGAAAGTTCAAAATCTACAAGAAAACAATGTCGATGATTTGTAGTGTAAGAAGAGATATGAAAAATTATGTATAAATCAAGTGGTGGTGGAAAATACTTGTAAAAAATAAATTCCAGTGAAAAATATTAATCTACCTATCAGTAAAGATAAAACTGATAGAAAAATGAGATCAGTTTTTTTTTTAAAACTAGCTTAAAATCAACTTGTAGTGATTGGATTGATGCACTTTTATATAATATTTTGGATGTTAATATTCTTAGCACAAACTATAACTTTTGGAACATAATTTTGTTCAGTTTATTATTTACGAAATTTATTTACAAATATAGACGAAAATCATAAGTAATTGAAAACAAGTTGAATTTTGAAATCATAAGTAATTGAAAACAAGTTAAGGTTTGAAATCATAAGTAATTGAAAACTCACAATGAAAAATTATGCATTGTATTGCTATGTACATGCTGATGTTCTATCTTTCAATGAGTTGAGTGTCTTTGAATAAGAAAGAAACGAATCAAATTTCATATTGCAGAAAAACGATGATATACAAAAAGAATATTTGTTTTATGTCATGCATACCTCTATTGATTACTCGATAGATATTTGGAGGTTTAGTAACCCACTAAACTTAGCATCCATATCAGAAATCTTCATTTAGATCATGTGGGAAGCATAATCACAGCCATCGCTAGCGGCTGAGACAATGTTGCCACCAAAACTAATTAATTTTCTTCGTCTTCAAAATTTGTACAAAATCTGAACTTAAATCTAGTCAAAGCCAGTTCTTATGTCTTGTAATAATTTCCTTCTAGGGTTAGTTGAAGAAAATAAAAAAACATAAGTTCACACAGTTGAAATTACCCTTTATTAGTAGAAAAGTAGATAATTTAATTGACAATTATATTTCTATATATCTTGATTGCTGAATCATCTAAATCCGCATGAGTTGGTTATTAGAGTTATGCGAGAGAGTGTATGGAATCCAAGTGTTTTATGTGAGAGAGTTCCATTGTCATGTATTTTATCAAATCTATGTCTTTCTTCATTTATCTTACTTGCTTAATGTTACGTTGAGACAATAATAAACTGGTCTAGCTAGTAGCTAGTAGTTGACGTGTGAAATAACTACAATTCTTTTTTTTTTCCTACAATTAATTGGTTTTCTATCTTGAGAATATCAAAATGTGATTTTAGGCCTTAAGAAAATCACAGAAAAAAAATAACTTTGTGAATAAGAATTATGGTAATGCTTAAAATATCAATGCAAGCCAAAATGTGAAACCAAGTTTAGATATCCAATGAGAAGAAGACGAGAAAGACCGAAAGTTATTGAAATACAAAATTTAGTGTTCTCTATTTTAATTTTAGTTATGAATGCCCAACGAGTCTTGTGTATAAAAATCAGGTCTTATGCCAACAAAACAAAGTAGTACAACTTTTGGGGTCAAAGTAGAAATATCTACAAGTTGAGGATTGGAATAAAAGACGTTACATAAAGCTTCTGTAGTTACATTACATTTCATGTGTATTTTTGCTTCACTTCTTTATACCCACCTTTCGTCTCTAAAACCAGTTTTCAGTTTCTCTCTGTCGCACAATTTGTTCTCTTTCTCTTCCCTTTAACTCCAGATGATCTTATTCGCCTAATGTTTTGCTGAGATAATTTCACTACCAGTTTCTATTTTGTAAAAGGACGTAATAAATTTCACTACCCAAACTCGATAGCCCATCATAAGCCCAATCAATTGATCAATTGCATTTAGACTTGGCATGTGAGGATTTCGCAGAGTACAGCACATTCATTTTGTAAAAAGAAGCCAATTGCAGTCATTTTAGCTAGACCTCATTGCTTCCTACCAAGTATGTTGAGATAGTAGAGACAATAATAGACGAAGATGGGGGGACAAAACTGTTGAGTTACTTTCTGAAGAATTCAACAATCCTCAAGAAACTAAAATAATGAGATAATGGGAAGTTTAAATTAAACCGGTCTAGTAGTTGACATATATGTGAAATAAAACTGAATGTCATAAAATGGTCATTTGGTCAATTTGTATTTTACTGAAATCTTTGCAAGTCAAATCAAATACCTGAACAACTTGGTGATGTGGATAGTGTAGGGATAAAAAAAACATTCAATTGCATTCACATTAAACTCTAGGTATACATCTAAACTCCAACGTCACACTATACAACAGTTTATTTTCTTTAGTCAGTCGAAAGTCCAACGTTAGAAAATGGTCAAATTCATAGTTAGAGAAGAGATTTAATACTTAGGATTACCAAATTTAAAATGCAGATTGAAATTTCTTTGCCCGCTCTAGAGAATTTGGTTCGGTTAAAAAGTTAAAACCAGTAAGAGATGCTGTTACAATAAAAGATATTTAGTCCTGGCTCTTATTAATTCTACGAGTTGAGTCGTAAATGTAAATTAACCAAAATACTAAAAAACTCAAGCTGCGTTTGTTTTTACGTGGTTTGTATGGCAAACGGCTAAAAACGCTTCTAATCGTCGTGCAGGCCCATCTCATCAAACAGTCACAAACTCACAATGAACCGGTCAGAATCACCCGTGGATTTTGGTCTTCCGACTATCGAGCACCATCTTACAAAAAACAAATTGAAAGAAAAAATTATGAATTTTGCGAGTAGAAATTTAGCATTAAATAATTGCAACATAAATGTGATTTTAGTAAGCCCTGGGTCAGGTCATTGTAATGAGTAATGAAGTTCTCAAGTTGGGTGTCGTTTTCTGATCAAACCCCAACCGTTTTGGCCCAGCTATGGACGAGCCTTAATACAATATGAGAGCACATATTTTATCTAATATAGAGAGAAGATGAAAAACCTTATAACAAGTTAACAATATACAATATCACACTAATTTTCGTGATACATTGCAGAAAACTTGTATATTGTTAATTTGTTATAAGGTTTTCCATCTTCTCAATATATTTTTAATTCACACTAAATGCATAATTATTATTTCGACTATTGTAATTTTGGAATGAGTTTTCTAATTAAGTATTTCACAAAATTGTGTTATTTTGAATTTAAAGAAAAATGAATACACTAATCTGGTCCACTTATGTATCGATCATCAAGATACAACCTTGGATATACGAACTGAGAAGCTAGTGAAATTGGATATTCAAAAAACATAGCGTACTTATAACATCTGAGACAAATCATCATGACCACAATAAATTTTTTAAAGGTTTCATTCTTCCAAATTTTTCATCGTGAGTATTTCTATCACCAGTTTACTTATCTTCGCACTCACAGAGTCTGCTATGACAAATGCCCAACACAAGTCTAAGGAAGAAAAAAAAAGTCAAAATTGTTAATTACTCTCTTTCATAACTTTACATATAATTGTAGAAGTTTATTATACCTTACCGTGGTGTAATGGGTCAGGTCCCATGAGTGTTGACCATTCATTTTTGTTTATTGATATTACCATATCCTACAAAACGAAATGTATGATAAGTATTTTTGTGAAATTGTATAAACAATATATTTTCAAAAATAGAACTTTACACATGCCTCATTATGTTTCCAATATGCAAACCGAATTGATTTTTGTGGTATTTTGGCTATATATTCTTCTACACTTCCTTATGAATATACTTAATGGAACGCTATAAGTTGGCTATTGGATATATGTAGCTTCGAATTCTTGTAAAATGTAGATGTGGATGAAATCGAGCAAGACAAAACATAAAAAAAAAATGCACAAAAAATTCCAACTAACTCACTAATAAAAAAACTCATAATAGGCGTAAAAAATATCACACCGAAAAATTTCAACTATCTCACTAACCAAAAAACTCATCATAATGTCAAAATGGGTCAAAATTAGTGGATCCATCCAATCCATTAAACTAAAATACTTTGCTCCGGTGTCTTGTTTTCTTCTTAAGGTGACATGATATAGTTTTAATGGTAGCTCAATCTGGCTGAGATCCTAGTCGAGAAGGATCGTATGGACCTTTACGAGCGCATTAGGAAATTTCCTAATGACAAAGCACAAGTAGAATTTTTCGATCAGGTTTTGCTTTCCTTTCCTTTGATTTAGTTTTCTTAATTTTCGCTCAATATTTTTACTTGATACTTCGGAAATAATACTTTATCAGGTTAAACGCCGATACCACTAAATCAACATCAAGAGGATTTACCAGCATACATCAGAGAAGAAGGCAAAGAAACACTAGATACATACATAGCGATTGTGGAACAACTACTTGCTCATAACCCTTACAATGGATTCTCTCCTCCTACGCCCGTTGATGATGTTTGGGTTGAAGATAAGTCAGATCTCGTAACACTTGTCTCGCATATCTGGGTCGACTTTTGTAGTCAAATGCCTATCTCCACCATCGATCTTGGCATTCAATTATCTGATGGACATGTTTGTTAATTTTCGTTTTATTTTTATATTTGTTGTGATTTTTATTCAGACATTGACATCAAATGAATTTGGTTTTGGGTTTGCTGTAGACAAAGCTGGTGAAGAGCTTAATCCACTACGGTCCGATGCATCTTTACGCCTACGCCGGCATTGCAGGCCTACCCAAAGAGAGAATAATAACTTATCTCAATCGGGTTTGTGTTTTTCTTTTTCTATATTTGTTTTTTTTTCTTCTTAATTTGAATATAGAAAAACGATTGAATGCTTTTGAAACAAAACAATGGCTTATTAGGTTATTCAACTATATCCTTGAAGTTCAAGTTCTCACGTGGATTTAGCACACCACATCAGGACCACCAATGGAGCTTTTAGAACAATATGTTATCATTGTGGCACCACTCCTGCGTTCCTAAAAAAAAAGGAGTTGAGGATATTGCAAATCTTTATTTCATATGATCAAACAAAGCATGGAAGGGGTCACCTCGTTTTTCCAAGTGTTTTTTGTCGTTTTAAACCGGTCTAGTAGTTTATGTGTGAAATATATTGACTGATAAAATATATCTATCTCCAACTAGTCTTCTATCTTGGGAATATCTATCGATGAATTTATGACTTGGTTAATTTCACATATCAATAACATCAATGCCAGCCAAATTAGGTCCGCAAAGGAACAAAAGTATTATTTTTGTGGTTTGGTGAGGTATGTATTTGGGTATTACCGAATTGGCTCAATTTGGTATGAGTCTAAAGACATATCTCCAATCTTACCCTTGACGGTTAAATTAGGTACAAAAATGAGTTAAAAATCATGTTCTAAAACCTGTACGTGACTGAAAAACGAGTTTTAACTTTAAAAAAAAACATGCGATTCTTGGAAACAACTATAATTGTATCCCGGTTAGAGTTGTCATTTTGCAACTAAGTATGGTTAATATACCAAATGAATACGTAGTGGCAAAATTATCGGGCTTTAAATACCCACACAAAAGAAACTTAAACACACTATTAGTTTATGTAACTCAATATTAGTATATGTGGACGTATATGTTGAAGTTCTTTATTGCTTCCTTTCTCAAACAATTATGTGGCACTTTTCAAACTGATCATTATTATTATTTTATTGTATTATCTAGGCAAAAGTTTGTGTAATTCAACTCAAACAAAAAAATTGTGTAACTAAAACTCTTTGCAATTTTTAAAGACCTTGGAAAATGATATACATTATCAAAAGTTTATAGCGATATAATTAAGTTCTTCCAATATTAGATAAATAAAGGTTTTGTGTCGTTTTGGAAATTAAGCATACCAAACAAAAAAGATAAGGAAATTATGTTGGTGAACACGGCAGCTCGGATAAGAAATAAATAATCTCAGAATCTGGACCACCAAGAAATGCTGTCATACCAAAATACAAACAAAAAAGTTAAACTAAATTAAATGATATCTGAATTTTAGCGTTTAGGTTTTTCACTTTTTTGGATCTTTGATATGCAGTGCAGACTGCAGAGGGAAGAGGAGACAACGAGGAGGGAGGGACTGAGTTGTCAGGTCAAAACGACTAAACAATAGAGTACACGTGTCCCTTTTTCATTTGCTCAAATACTAAATACGACGCACGTCTTCGTATTTGCGAAACTTTTCTTTTTCAATATTTATTACTACTGCGACGTAAAATCGTGTGTAATCAAATTTACTAGCTACTTGAATAGCTTTAACATAAATACGATATGATGTTTGACGTAGCTTTAACAGGTTCTATATAAAAGAAAAGATAAATACGTGCGGATACTCACACGTTAACTAATTTAGATGAACATTACGAACGAAATTCATTTTGTTTTTCAAACATCCAAAATCCAAAAGCAGAAACATAGAAGCATGACCATTGTTCAACATAATTAATAACTTCCACAAGCAAAAGAGCAAATATTAGACCAAATCTTCGAAGGGAGGGATGATGAGGCGGATGACACCACGTTTAGTGATCACTTTGATCTGACTCTCGTCATAGCCTTGAGGAACGACCGCCACTTTGCCTTTGTACTCACGCCCACTAGAGTCGTATATTGCCCGAGGTGCTCGTCCACTCACAATGACCCCACCGTCGTTATCCACCGCCACCGTGAATTGGTCGTCAGGGACGCCGGGCATGTCAATACGCACAAACAGGCTGCCGTCTTCGAGCCGCATTGACTCGTACGCACTCTTTGACCCCTCCGTCACTGACGGGTGCGGTAATATGACCGGACCCGTGAACGCCGGATCTGTTCAATGTTTAACCACAAAAACATCGATGTCATCAATATAGTATAATAATTGATATATAACAACACATTCATGCAAGTGTGTGTATGTGATATATAGTACTTAACGTGTAGTATACATACGATAAACACTAATTAATGACATTAACCAATATATGTTTGAAGTTATGTCACAATGGAGAGGGATCATCATAAAGTGCATACCTTGAGGGTCAGTGGCACGGAAACCTATTAGCATGAAAATAAATTAAGTGAGCGGTCTCAAATAGCTCTCTTTTTTTTGTAAAGGTTTCTTCACAATTAATTAACCTCAAATAACAAGAAAATAGAATGAAAAATATCAAATGGAATACCTTGTGGGATAAGACCAAGAAGAACAGCTGCAAAATCAAAGAATATAAAATATATGATTATAATATATAAAAAGAAAAGAAAGATGTAAATCAATAAATCAAACGATTATAATATATATAAACATACCAAAAGGATGGCCACCTGCGACTGCAACAATAGTGAAAGTTCAAGGGGATACCAATAGAGACCGTGAATGATACAGAAAGTAGTACGAGCATAAATAGTAGTAAAGACACATAGAGTTTGTTAACGGGGTTCGTTTCCTACATCCCCGGGACCTCGTCCAGAATCCACTAGAACAAGATTGCAATTACAATTGCTATGGTATCCAGCACTACAATGCCTACCATTCTCTCCTAGATGGATACATTCAAACAATGCCCTTAACCCTTTGTTTGGTCTTCCTACTAGAACCCCAAAACCTTATGCTAAGGCATCTTCGAATGTAATGGGTTGAGCACATCCAATGCTCTCCACGTCCTATTTATCCACAATAGGTACGCTTTGAAACCCTTCAAGATTTCTCCCTTGGTGATCACTCCAAATCTCCAAGAGAATATTTATTTCCTTATTTTTCTCTAGGAAAAGGAAATATTCCTAGTTGCTTGATAGCTTCGAATCTCTTCGTCCAACTTAGCTCTTGACTCTTCTAGAATCTTCTAGACTCGCCTCCTCAGCTACAAGCATATGTCCAGCCCATCAGATCGATTCCTTAAGCCCATCTGCTGAACACGACTCTCTGTACTACTTCTTGACTGATACATGAAGTCCTTCATTCAACTGTATCTTCACCTGTTATGACATGTTCTAAAACTCGGTCAGCACTGCATCAACAAATAGAATCAAACACATGTCAGAATGTCATATACTATGATAATAACAATATTCAAGATTTTTGTTGAGAAACTTACAAGAAGAAGAGGACGGGAGGTTAGGATCGGTCCTTTGCTTTGTGAGGATGAGCCTGATAACGCCATCTCCGAGATAGCACTCAACATTGCTGATTAGGCAGCAGTCATAGACAAGTCGAGTGGCGGTTTCGAATTTCCGGTTCGGAAGAATCGTGTGTGAGTTCTTTCGGTGTGTTTCCCGAGACGAAAACAGCCTTCTTGTCCGATCCCTTGACAGTGGTCTTAACACTCTCTCTGATGACTCCTGGGAAATCAACCCTCATGAACAGATCCATCGTCCCTTCAATGTACTTGAACTCGGTAAACCCTTTCGGTCCACTCACCTGGTACGGGTTGTTTGTTGCGTAGTACATACCTGACTCACAAGAAAATAAGACATACATATATCAATCCATTATTCATCAGTCGGCGACACTAAACGAGTTCAAGAAAATGATGAACCAATATGCAGAGATTTGGAAGATATACCTTCAGATTGAGGGACTGGATCGATGAACGTGATCAGCTGCATGATTAGGTGGCTGAGTTAGGGTTTTCTAGTTTATTTCTTTTCCTTTTGAGCTTTCACTTTCTCTCTGGTCTTTAGGGTTTTAGACATATATAGAGAAGAAGCTTGACCTAGGAGGGAGGAGAGAGTGTGAGTGAGTGAAAAAGACAAACAGCTTTATTTCAATTAGAGAGAAATAAAGTTCATTATGCGTGCTTCACGGTAATTTTTATATATACGACTTTCACTTTTCACCTTTCATTTCTCCCTAGTTATATGTTTTATTTACTTTTTCGTTTAATTTCTGTCAACAACATTTACATCTACTAATGAAAAACAGTAAATACGTACACCTAACATATTTATTAGGCCTCAGTTGGTTTAACTTTAATCGAATGAAAATCTTTTTGAGCCAAAAAAAAAAGAAAAAAGGTAAATACATACACCTACCACTACCAGATATTTACTAGTGGTTATCAACTTATAAACCAAATCGATCGATCTTTTCAAACCGAACACAAATTATAGGTTTTCTATTCAAATTCGGTTCTTGGTTGTGAACCGATAATTTGTACATTCGGTTCGGTTTGGTTATTGGTTAGCTTGGTTATTTCCGAACCAAATCATGTCCAAAATTTTAGATAAAAAACAAAAAAAATGAACTAACCGAATTTATTCAAATTTAAGCCAAAACATAAAAACTCAAACCGCTTTTGGTTTTCAGAGCTGGTTTGTATCGCAAACGGCTAATAACCCATCTCATCAAACAGTCACAGTGAAACCGGTTAGAATCGCCAGTTTGTACATGAAACAAGCAAAACCTGAACAGAGCAGCTGAGCTTCCATAAAATGGCAGAGAATCAACATGAGGAAGGGACGAAAACCACCCAAGTCGTTTTTCAGAAATCCTGAAAGACTCTTCGTTGATCACTCTTCAACCACATCAATCATTCGTAGGCTCAGAACATTCACTATGTATCTCTTCCGATGCAGCTTGGTCCAACTAGAGATTGAGTGCCTCCTCCGAAATTCTCACCATTCAACAAAATCTAATAGGAAATACAAAGCTTTAACGATCAATGATCAATACTGTAAAGTAAAAAAAACTTTAAAAGAGTTAGTATGGCGAATGAAATACTTACTTCATTTGCCTAAAGAAGTGAATGGAGCACAATGTTGGTATGTAGGGCGTTTCTAGATACATATTCTCAGCTAAAGAACGTCAAAAGGGAAAGTGGTAAAAGATAAGTTAATTGTTTTGAGGGTAACACACACAAACTCAATAACAAACTAAAGATGGATAATATCGCCCCTAAAGGAGTTTTCTAGCTCCAGATTAACTGAATAACATCACATCTGATTCATCAGCCTCAAACATATTAAAACTATCTATACATAGAGCAGAAACTAACCACATTCTGCCTTGAGATGGGACTGTGCTGTAGACTATTTCTAGTTTAAACTCATGTAGTAATAAACAACGAAAGGTAAAAGAGGTAACTAACCAAGGAGGCACACGCAGCTAAATCAACTCGAGGGGCCTTACTGCAATAGGCTGAAAATTTCTCGTTACAGTACCTCTGTATACTGCAATCTGATCGAAATTAAACTAATGGGCCGTTATTGTTCAGAGTTAGCCCATTTACTTTTATCCTCTATCAGTTACTAATCGGGCATTTCAATTTCTGTCCGGTTTAGTTTTAATTTAATAGCTGGCCAGGAGTTTCCATAATTTTGATATAACCACTCATAATTTCAGAAACTTTCTCCTACAGGTTGAATTGTCGCAGTGTTTGTTGTCGTATACTATAAACTGAAAAACCGCCATTTGACATTTTTTCTCTTTGACTAATTGACTTATATGTGTTTTTCTTCCCCATAGTTTTATCTTATTAGTCAGTGTGTTCACCTTTCTCAAGATTATACTCATTGAATTTCCAATATGAAACTTTATCAATAAAATTTCATATTGATCCCATACATAAACTTGTTTGAAAATATTAGCATTAATCAGCTTAGTTATTTTTGAAGGATAGGCAAACGACTGATTAAGAACTCTAGCTTTTCTTTTCTTTTATATAGGCAAGGCTTTGGCCAAACTAAAGAACAATATTAAGATTTGAGCGAAATTTAGACAGATGCCGGTTGAGTCGTGTTCTATGAGATAGGTATGGCATCTTGATACACAAACTCAAGTATATAATTTAGATTTTTCACATACTCCAAAAATCTCGTTGGACTTTGGTAGTGAGAAAACAAAAATGCTGAGGAGAAGATGAAAGAAAAATCATGACCAAACGTGCCACGGACGTTTGTATAAAAGTGGTAACACATCAATCTTGAGTCAACTGCATTAAATTAGGTTAGCGTTAAGCGATACTCCTCGAGTTGTCGTTATCAAATGCCAGTCGTGGAGGACCAGTCCTCTGTTTCTCCTATATGGGTTTTCAACAGTTCAATGTTAAAACGCATTTGTGGTGACTGGTGACAGAGGCAAAATTAGGCTGTATTTACGTAAATTTTAGCAAAACTTTCTCACCTTCTCTCACATTCACATGTTTGTGTTTACAGTTTGCTAAAAAAACGTTTATCTTTAGTGAAATTTTTTTCCCTAAATGAATCAATAACTTAAGCATATCAAACAATTATTTTTTATCTTGTGTTATAAAACAATCTAGGCGGTACAATGCGAAATCATATCAAAAGGAGGAGAAGACAGTTGTGTCCCGAAAAAAGGAGGAGAGGGCAGAGACATAATCAAGATTTTCAAGATGTGATGTGATAGAAATCGATAATCATGAAAATCTTGTTAAGAAAGGAACTTAGGCGAATGACAAAAGGAATAATGAAGGGATCCTCCGACGATGGGTCCTAGTTAGGTCAGGTCTCCACATTCGACAACACCAGACATCTCTCTCTAAAAGCATTGATGGGGTCCATACGAGAGACAGAGTGGGGTCCATATAATTGGACCTTTAATTGGCCCAAAATACTTGGGTTATCGGAACATGTCCCATTTCTCAACATTATTCACTTTCTCCTGCAAGCAATGGGCTCATAATGCTCTGTAAAATAAAAAAGCAACACTCTTATCAGTTATCACAGTTTCAACAAACTTTCAAACCAAAACAACCTTATACCTAAAAAGTTGCCTCGTAAAACACTTCAATACGATGGCACATGTACTTTGAAAAGCTGAGGAACACATGTCCGAAAAATCATTAAGCGCAAACCGGTCTAAATAGTTTAACCGGTGGTTTTGGAGTCGATCTATATGCTTAATGCTGCGTAGACAATCGTTTGTAGAACTGTGTTCCTTTCGGTTTAGGACATTTTGTCTTTAGTTTGAATTGTACAGTGTTACTGTGTTTGTTGCGGTATAAACAAGACAATCGCCATTGACATTTTTCTCTTTGTTTTCAAGTGTGACTGTGTGTTTGCTGTGGTATAAACAGCAACCGCCATAAATGTATATTGATTATCACCATTCAATAGTTTTGTATCTATTGCAGTACAGCTATAGTAAACATTTTTTAGCACGCATCGCATGTATCTAGTTCAAAACTTCAAATTCGTATCCACATATCAATCCCGTACGTATATTTCCTTGAAAATGTTAATCATTGATTAGCTTAGTTATATTTAGGGATAGGCAAACTATGTTATATATAGACTTTTTGTAAGACAAATGATTAAGAACACTAGCTAGCTTTTCTTTTCCTTTATATAAGCAAGGCTTTAACCAAACTAATAAATAATATTATAAGGATTGAGCGAAATTTAGATAGATGCCTGATGAGTCGTGTTCTATGCGATATCCGATATGTATGGGATTTGATAGCTACATATCATATGTATTATTATTCATTAATGGTACATTCAAACTATACTACATTATATTGAAAGGTAAGTAAAGTGGACAATAAATAGGAGAGGAAAATGTTAAATTTGGGTGGGGAAGTTAGGAGGGGACAAAGTGGAGGAATATTAATATCCCATCAAGACCAACAACATCAACAAAAAAGTACCATATATATATTTGACAAATAAAAAAGCAAAGATAATATTTAAAAAACAAAAGCAAGTAAGATTGTGACATTTTGACTTTTTCTATATTTAAATTTGGATTTGTTTTGGATTCCGAATGGTTTACCTCAAGATGAATAACAAGCAAACAATGTGCATAATTGCGTTTGTACTATAATGTGAAATTAATGGGGACACTTCTTTTTAATTTCCGTGCCTATTCAAATTAAGAATTTACGCAACCACTTCTTTTCCTTTCTTCGTCTCTCCCCCTCTTTTTACTTCTCTTTTTTTTACGCACTAAGATATATGAATATATCTAATTTAACTAAACTGTAACGCTTTTAGTTCAGTGGTATTTTAAATTTCCAAACTAAATAATTTGTGTTGTGTTTCTTACCGTGTGTAGTGTTTAATATGTAAAATGCAATTTTACGTAGATTGTGTATATAATTTATTTTGAATATTTCAGCATGCTGAAAGTTGAACTGTTTGTGACTTGTGAGTTTGTCTATGTCGCAAGTTAGATTGTGCATTGCAACTTTTTCATTCAATTTTTTTTTTTATAGATTGTAATAGTTATTTATAAGATTTGATGTTATAGTTATGAATATGATGATGTAACTAAGATGACTTTGTAGTGTTATACACATATAGTAACGTATATTATTAAATGATATGCTTACGGCTTACCCTGCACCTTTTTGTCAAAAAGTATAAAAATGCTTACCTGGTTAGGATATGTATATGCTTGTGCATGTGTATGTATGTTATTATGTAAGTGTGTGTAACAATACGACAAAAGCCTAAAACAAAGATAGTGAATGATACGTGCATAGAGTCTAATTTGGAATAGAGAGATGATAGCTATTACGTTTCTAAACCAGTGAAACTATTATCCCATATATACTAATAAGACATGTTAGTCAATTATTTGGATCCAATAGATGCATAAGGTTTCAGTTTCTTTTTGTTTTAAGCTTTTGTCGTCTTCTTACACATATACATACACATGTGTATATCAAGTTTTCTATAAACTTTGAGGGAATAAATCCATTGATCATGGTTTCATCACCAGGCACTATGAAATAAAATAAGGTAATCATTGTAACCGAAAAGAGTAATTTCAACCGCAAGTTAAAAAGACGAAGTTGATTATATAACCATTTTTTATTTAACTTTTTAAAACTGTTGAATTTGTCGCTTGTGAAACAATCAAGCACATGGGTCAAATATTGACTACTACTACTACTATATATGTATGCGAAATTGTGCATTATCATTATGACTCACAACTAACGACAAGTGTCTCAAAATTTGAATCAAGCTAGAAAACCATGATAGAAGAAAACCCATGTATAAAAGCTACAAATTTATGATGATAATAATATAATATACATATACATAAACGTAATCGATCTCATATTTTTGTTTTAGATAAAAATATATAGCTAGTTCAACTAATTAAAGATATGTCATTTCATTTATCCAACTCTAAGTGTAGTTCTACAATACAGGACAATACAATACAAAATTATTTTACCATAGCTGAATAATATTTTTTTTTTGTTCAAAGCTGAATAATATTATAGTTCAATTTTAACACTACTCCTGCACACAAATTCTTTCTGATAAATTATAGCTCTGGTAAAGAACTTATAAATCCGTGACTTTATTATATTATTATTTTGTAGTATTATAAATATGGCAAAACATAAAGGTAAATGATATGTAGATTATTAAAACAAAACATTATAACTAAATAAAAAATAAAGAGATAAATGGGTGTAAATGTGTGGTCAGCACGTGAGAGTTACTTTTGGCGCATGCGAAAAGCTGATGAGAATACCACATCGTCAACACTTTTCTTTTATATTATACTGAAATGGTCTCAGATGAAAAAGAAGATAATATGAATATTTGGCATATATTAATATTCATATTATCAAATCAACGTGCATAATTGTTAATTATAAAGATTTTCGTTAATAAGTTAAAAATATCAGCCAAATTTTGCTGATTACTGTCATTTTCTCCATCGAAGTTCTATTTCACTTTCACTTGAATGACTAGAAAATGACCTACTGAATATTCTTGAAAAACTAGTGTGTTTGTCATGATTGAACAGTAAATATACGGTAATCGTATTTAATTAGATCGTCACTTTTTTTAATTGTTATGTTGCAAACACGATAAAAATATCTGAACAATGAAAAAAGAAAAATACGGTAAGGAGAAAGATTTCCATCATATATATATACATATATGTGACGGATATGATGATTGTCTAGGATTTGTATAGTTTACATTTTATTGATTGTCATGAAACTGGATTTAATTTTTAAGATTTTAAGCATTTGACAAGTTTTCAAGGTCTTCTACATAAAGTGTTGTAATCTAGATCTACTCAATTTGAAACTCCACTCTCAGTGATCGAATTATTGTATATCTGAAAAGAAAAATTAGTATGTATTCACACGGTTTTAATATATATGGTTAGTACTAGTAGCCATAAACTTTGTACATGTATATGCTCTGATTAAAATGCGATCATATAGCATACAGAAATATATTATTATAATGTAATTATCTTCCAATAAACCAAAATGAAGAAATAAAAGATAAAGAAAATTATAACACTATACTGTAATTATCAAAGTGGCTATAGTTTAGTGGTAAGAATTCCACGTTGTGGCCGTGGAGACCCGGGCTCGAATCCCAGCAGCCACAATGTTTTACTTTTTTTTTACCAAAAAGTAAAACGATTATTGCGTAGATAGTACAAGAACGAATAATTAAGATTGAAAAGAAAAAAACAGAAGAAAAGAAAAGAAAAATAAAATAAAATAAAATAAAAGAAATAGTGCGGCGATGTGTGACGGATAATTGAAGTTTGAAGAGAAAGTGGGCTCTACCTGACCGCGCCATAAAAGAGATGCAGATTGTCTGGAATTAAGGAACCATTTATTATTTTCCATTGTTCCTTCTTTCAATTCTTTTATCTGTTTTTATCGCGGTAAACACATAATAATACGCTAAAATAATATTTCAAATTAAATAATTCATTATCTATATCAATATAATTGTCGATTTGCCATTTTTCATGCATAAAACAAGTCAACGTATACTATAGTCCTTTACTTTTATTCTTACAAAAAATCAGCTGTTTTCTACAAGTATGTTTTAGTCTTTTTACAACAATCAGAAAGAAAAAGGTGTTAAATTTGGAACCTAAAGAAAGTAAAAAAGTTTTTTTACAGAAAGTAATTACACTTGCAGATGAAAGAAAAGGCAAGTATGACATGTAAAAAGGGCAATGTGGGTTTAGTCGTATCACAGTGTTTGACTGATCACTGTCTTCTGATCCCTTTTTCAGTTTTAAAAATGTAACTTACAAATTAAACAGTTTGCCTGCTCTAATCAGATTGTAAATATGATTTGATATTTTAATAGTAACTGACCAATTTAGATTTCATATTAACTTATTCGCTGCTTTAATCAGCTTTTGGCGTGTTGTTAGCGATCTAGTTCCCATAGCCTCAACCTCTTGCAGACTAGCTCTAAATTCTGATCCTAGGACTCATGTGATTACTTTTTGTGTTAATTTGATCCAGAAATTTGTTTTTGTTATTCTCACTACTATGTAAATTAGTTAATTTTACTAATCTTATTCATTAATGAAGATGTTGACCATGGTTTTTTCTACGCTCCATAGCCATTTTTTGTTGGTTTTGTAATCCTGAACACATAAATTTACCATTTGTATCTTACATATGTACCGTAAGCCCTACTCTTTTTATTTTTGTTTACTTTTGATTAAAGGTCCTACTATTAAAAAACATAATCACATTTGTATGGTACATTGTAGACCTAAACAGTTTATATAATTTTCTTACAGAATGATACAAATTTGTTCGTATAATAAATGATGATAAGACGTGCTAACAGTAAAACACTACCACAAAAGGATAGTGAGAGAATGCGTTTTGTAACAAGACATATTTTGATTGCTTGATGTGTTAAAATGATTATGTCAGAGACAGAGAGCGATCATAGGCTTTAAACTTTTTTTTCTTACGTCGAATTTCTTATGAATGTCGAGTATATATGGAATTTTGCATTTCGAAATGTCCTTAACTAAATTGAAGTCTCCTTAACCAAAAACTTGTTACAACTTACAACTTAATTAGAAGAAAACTAGACCAGATCTTATAATCAAGTCTTCTTCTGTTCTTTTGTAATGATCAGACTTTCAGCGAACAGGAACTCCTCCAAATGAAAATAAAATTCCATGGATTCAAGATTTACATGTTAAACTGGGATACAAGGTGTGATCGATATGACTTGTATTATCCAATTTACAGGTTTAATAACATTTCTCCATCGTTCATAATTCATATTCCATTCAGGTGTTAGGATCTGTAAATGAATCCCATCTAAAATTCACAATTTCTACAACCATGTACATGTTTTGTTTTCTCGCTAAAGCACCTATTAGATACTAAATACTATTCACGATTTTATCACATTTTCAAAATGAAATGTTATACACATATTTTAATACCTTTAACCATTAATTTTGACAATAGTTTATTATATGAGTACGTTTTGGATTAAATGGCAGAATTAGTTTTGAACTAGATCAATTCCAACTAAAAGAGGTAGTATATTTTTGAGCTAGATCAGTACCATTTTTAATGAAACTTTAGTTCAAACTCAATTAGCAATAAAATAAAAATTAAGTTTTTATCTTAAGCATATTTTCGATATAAAATAGTCTTTGATTTATCCAATTTAATTTTTAAATGAACCGATTTAATTAACAATTAATGTATATTGTCATTTCACACAAACAATAGGGGCAACTTCGTAACTGACCGCCATAATATTATATAAATATTTAAAAGAAGAAAAAAAACGCACCACTTTTCTTTTTCCGCTTATGCACAGCTTGTCGGTTTGCGTGCAAATCCTCTGTTTCACAATTCTCTCTCTCTCTTCTCTCTTTTATTCCTCCCTCTGTTCTAAGCTCAGAGAGCGGACACACATCACTTACTCTCTCTCTCTCTCTCCTTCTCTTCTTAACTTTCTCACATAACCACACTTTCTTTTCTCTTTTCTAATTTAAATTTTCTTCCAGAGTCTTCAAAAACTTTTCAGCTTCAATTGTACCACCAAGTGATGTTCTGTCTTTCTTCTTCTTCTTCTTCCATCGTTGTTAAGGACTTGAGGTTTCTATGTCCTGAATTCTGATAAATGCTTCTCCTGATCTGTGTCTCTCTTCTTTGAGAGAATTCACGTCACTTTCTTTCTCTTTTCCCAGAAAATCCAACTCTGTAATTGGGTTCTTTAGGTGTAATATATTCTGTTTTTCCTCCCAAGAATCTCTAAAAATTCTCAGATCTTCTGAATCTTCCTTTTCTCTGTTTTGAATAACTTTTTAAAAATCTCTCATCTTGGTTTCCTTTTTTTTTCTTTTCCAAATTCTCGTTTCCACATGTCGTTGGTCTTTCACTACAAGCCACGACCGTAGAATCTTCTTTGTCTGAAAAAACAAAAGAACTCCAATTTACGTTTCTCTTAAGAAACGACGGACTTTCCGAAGAAAATAAAATATTTAGAGAAGTAAAGAAGAAGCAGAGAAGTTTGAGACTTTGGAGGTTTGTGAGTCTGAGAAGGAAAAAAGAAATGGAGATGGCGGTGGCTAATCACCGAGAGAGAAGCAGTGACAGCATGAATAGACATTTAGACAGTAGCGGCAAGTACGTCAGGTACACGGCGGAGCAAGTGGAAGCTCTCGAGCGTGTCTACGCCGAGTGTCCTAAGCCAAGCTCTCTCCGGCGACAACAATTGATCCGTGAATGTTCCATTTTGGCCAATATCGAGCCTAAGCAGATCAAAGTCTGGTTTCAGAACCGGAGGTAACTGATTCATCTCACTCTCTCTAAGAAGAAGCAAAAAGAAATCTCTACTTTAGAATTAGGGATTTGGAATTGATTATTGGAAGGACCACAGACACTTGTGGAGTATTCTTTTGTCTAGTAGTTTAGTTGCTCTTAGATGAATTTGGTCCGTGATTCGATTCTCCGACACAATTTCCTGTTTTGTCATAAGGGTTTCTCAGAATCTGTCTAGTAGTTTTGATTTGGACTTTCCTGTGTATCTATATTTTATCCAAATTAGCTCTTTAAACTATTCTTGTGAACTATGTTTATTGTTTGATGTCTAATTCTTAGGCAGTTTTGGTTATCTGTTATTGTGTGTGTGGTTTAGGTGTCGAGATAAGCAGAGGAAAGAGGCGTCGAGGCTACAAAGCGTAAACCGGAAGCTTTCGGCTATGAATAAACTTCTGATGGAGGAGAATGATAGATTGCAGAAGCAAGTCTCTCAGCTTGTCTGTGAGAATGGATATATGAAGCAGCAGCTTACCACTGTTGTATGTAACTTCAAACATAAACATTCTTCTTTGAAATGTGTTCTTAAAGAACAATCATGTAAACTTATTGTGTTGTTGTTTATTTTATTTTCAGGTGACTGATGCAAGCTGTGACTCAGCGGTCACAACTCCTCAGCATTCGCTTAGAGATGCGAATAGTCCTGCTGGGTAAAGTTTCTTGCCTTTTTTGGTTTTGTAGTGACTTTTCTTGCCTTTTCCTCAAGGACTCATATCAGTTGGTTATGTTGTTAGATTGCTAGCGATCGCAGAGGAGACCTTGGCAGAGTTCCTATCAAAGGCTACAGGAACTGCTGTTGATTGGGTTCAGATGCCTGGGATGAAGGTTTTTATACGCTTCTACTAGATATATTGATATATTTATGTGTAATATTGAAATGTGAAATCTGATGTTAAGTACTTAATGTGTTTTAGCCTGGTCCGGATTCGGTTGGCATATTTGCTATATCGCAAAGATGCAGTGGAGTGGCAGCTCGAGCCTGTGGTCTTGTTAGTTTAGAACCTATGAAGGTATAAGAAAGTGCCACCTCCTTTCAATGCTTAAGACTCAAGACTCAAAATGTTTCATTTTCAACCGGATTCTGTTTTCTTGCAGATTGCAGAGATACTCAAAGATCGACCATCTTGGTTCCGTGACTGTAGGAGCCTTGAAGTTTACACTATGTTCCCTGCCGGTAATGGCGGCACAATTGAGCTCGTGTATATGCAGGTGAAATCTTCTTTTCTCTTTTGGTTTAGTGTACTATCTCTAACAATGGAAGGTGAATAAAGAAAGTTGATTAAACTTTTGGTGATCAGACATATGCACCAACGACTCTGGCTCCTGCCCGCGACTTCTGGACTCTGAGGTACACAACGAGCCTCGACAACGGCAGTTTTGTGGTATGCAACTCTCAATCTCTCATGATGTCTGTCTAGTACCGTTTTACATAGAAAGTGTTAGAATCGGCATATTGATGTTCTGTAATCTATGTGTCTTGTAAAGGTTTGTGAGAGGTCACTATCTGGATCAGGAGCTGGTCCTAATGCTGCTTCAGCTTCTCAGTTTGTGAGAGCAGAGATGCTCTCTAGTGGATATCTAATAAGACCTTGTGATGGTGGCGGTTCAATTATTCACATTGTCGATCACCTTAATCTTGAGGTAATTAGAACATTTTGTGTTTGCTTCCTCAAATTTCAAAAAAGAATTGCTTCTAACTAAATCTACTTTCTTGCATTTCTAGGCTTGGAGTGTTCCGGATGTGCTTAGACCTCTCTATGAGTCATCCAAAGTCGTCGCACAAAAAATGACCATCTCCGTGAGTGTATATACAATAAATTAATAAACCATGATGAGATGTGATTGATTCAATTTTCATATCTAACGGTTTCTTGTTTTAGGCGTTGAGGTATATCAGGCAATTAGCGCAGGAGTCTAATGGTGAATTAGTGTATGGATTAGGAAGGCAGCCTGCAGTTCTAAGAACATTTAGCCAAAGATTAAGCAGGTATATATACAACCATGAGCTAAAAATCTAATTGTTTCTTTGCTCTTTGTTTGACTGTTTTGATTTTATAATTTTTTGTCTTGCAGAGGTTTTAATGATGCGGTGAATGGGTTTGGTGACGACGGTTGGTCTACGATGCACTGTGATGGCGCAGAAGACATTATCGTTGCTATCAACTCTACAAAGCATTTGAATAACATCTCCAACTCTCTCTCCTTCCTTGGAGGTGTGCTTTGTGCTAAAGCTTCAATGCTTCTCCAAGTAAGTTATCATTGTGCTCTGTTTTGGTACTCTGTTTCCTTTTCAAGGGCTGAAGATTTGTGTTCTTTATCGTAGAATGTTCCTCCTGCGGTTTTGATCCGGTTTCTTAGAGAGCATCGATCCGAGTGGGCTGATTTCAACGTTGATGCGTACTCTGCTGCGACGCTTAAAGCCGGTACCTTTGCTTATCCTGGGATGAGGCCTACAAGGTTCACCGGGAGCCAGATCATAATGCCGCTTGGTCATACTATCGAACACGAAGAAGTAAGACACTTTCTAGTCTTGTCCAGTGAAAAATTAAGACATTTTATTTTGTGTTCTTTCTTTAATGTGTTTGGTGTTGTTATGCTTCAGATGCTTGAAGTTGTTAGACTAGAAGGACATTCTCTTGCACAAGAAGATGCATTTATGTCCCGAGACGTCCATCTTCTTCAGGTATATATATATATATATATCATTTCTAAGAGATCTTGAGATTTTCTTCCATTTCATAGTTGAATTGAGCTTAATGATGTATGGCAGATTTGTACCGGGATTGACGAGAATGCTGTTGGAGCTTGTTCCGAGCTTATATTTGCTCCGATTAACGAGATGTTCCCTGATGATGCTCCACTTGTTCCTTCTGGATTCCGAGTCATACCCGTTGATGCTAAAACGGTACTACTTAACTTGTCTTTGCTTCATCTCTTATACATTGTTAATTAGTCTCAGATGCTCACATTGGTTTACTCATATAGGGAGATTCACAGGACATGTTGACAGCTAACCACCGCACATTAGACTTAACATCAAGCCTGGAAGTCGGTCCATCACCAGAGAATGCTTCTGGAAACTCTTCTTCAAGCACAAGCTCGAGATGTATCCTCACTATCGCGTTTCAGTTCCCCTTTGAGAACAACTTGCAAGATAATGTAGCTGGTATGGCTTGTCAGTACGTGCGGAGTGTGATTTCATCGGTTCAACGTGTTGCAATGGCGATCTCACCGTCCGGGATAAGCCCGAGTTTGGGATCCAAACTGTCTCCTGGATCTCCTGAAGCTGTTACTCTTGCTCAGTGGATCTCCCAAAGTTACACGTAGGTTTCTTAATGTTTTTACTTGAGACTCTCTCTTATTAGCTTATATCGATAATGTCTTACGTCTATATGTTTTGCTTTGCCAGTCATCACTTAGGCTCGGAGTTGCTGTCGATTGACTCGCTTGGAAGCAACGACTCTGTGTTGAAACTTCTTTGGGATCACCAAGATGCCATCTTGTGTTGCACTTTAAAGGTGTGTGTCCTAAACCAAACACTCTTGCATTTAAACACTTTTAGACACATAACTGTACTCGGTTTAATGTGGTCTGGTTATGTACTTGCAGCCGCAACCAGTGTTTATGTTTGCGAACCAAGCTGGTCTAGACATGCTAGAGACAACACTTGTAGCTTTACAAGACATCACACTCGAAAAGATCTTTGATGAATCCGGAAGAAAGGCTCTCTGCTCTGACTTTGCCAAGCTAATGCAACAGGTATTAAGAAACAAAAAGGCATAAATGTTTGTTGGAATCATTGTCTGAGAAATGTCTTTGTCTGTACAGGGATTTGCGTGTTTGCCTTCAGGAATCTGTTTGTCGACGATGGGAAGACACGTGACTTATGAACAAGCTGTTGCTTGGAAAGTGTTTGCTGCATCTGAAGACAACACCGACAACAACAATTTGCATTGTCTTGCATTCTCCTTCGTAAACTGGTCGTTTGTGTAATTTAATCTTTTGTGAGGGTAAAATTAGGAAGACTAATCAAATTTACATTTAGACGAGAACAAACTCATCTTTTTGGTTGTGTAGGTGTCTCTCTCTCTTTCTCTGTTTTTTTGTCAAATTTTCCTCGCTTTTTCTTTGTGTTTTTTATTTTAGTGATTGAACAAAAAAGAGACCTGATAAATCTATATTACAAAGAGGATGATGTTTCCATCTTTTATTATATTTCTTCACTATAATCATATCATGGAAAGAAGAACACCATTCATGTTTCTTGTGACGGCTTCAAGTTCAAAGTTACAGTGGGAAAATGGAGTCTCACAACCCTTTTTATGTATATAATAATTACGTTTACAATGTAGTAGTATAACTATTTCAAAAATAAGAAAAAGAAACAAAGAATTAACAGCAAACTACAGATGTAAGAAAGAAAAAATCTACAGCCGAATACAATCTTTTGACCGGCCGTTAAAATGGAAAGGATCTTCAGAATCTCATGCATCTAGCAGGTAAACCGGTCTGGTGATCGACGGCGACAATCTCAGAGACATTGTTGCAACGAAGAACATCTTGACCT